GAAAGCTGGTGATGGAGCTGCAGATGCAGGTGGAGCAGGTCTATGGCAATCGGCTTGTGGACAGAGAGGTTCTAGAGAAGGATTATGTGGAGCGAGTCCTCCTACTAAGAAAAGTATGACAAGCATTAAAGCTGTAGTGCCCTTTGGGAGAGGAGTAGAGAGTGGGGAGGGCAGAAGCTCTATAGGTAACCCAGCTGGGTTCTGGACAATTCTAGAACTTGAGCTCTAAAGCTCCAAGGCCTCACAAACAGTGAGAGGTCCTATCCTGCCAGTTCCAGGCACCTGCATCCCTGCTTAATGCCAAAATATGGAGCTGTGGAGTCAGTCCAGGTTGCAGGTATGACACTCTAAGCATCTCCACTATCTTTGCAGACCTGTGTCTCTATGCAGAATGACCTTGCTAGGTAGTGAGCAGCCATTTGTATCACCAAACCCACCATTACAGATGGTGGTCTCAACAGAGAGACCAAGGACTGAATGGGCCTTCTCTTGCCCCAGGAGGTTGGTTATCTCCAGGGCTTGTTGGCTGGGCAGTTGGAGAAGCTTGCCTACCTTCTGCCTGTTCTGGGGCTAAATAGCGAGAGTATGTGTCCAACGATGTCAGTGTGGTACTTTGTGGTTAAATCAAAGGGGTTCCTTAATTCAGAGCCCTGATCTAAAAGGAGGTGGCAAAGCAAGGGCTGAGGTGGGAGAAGAGGAGATGATGGCCCTGCCTAATGCTACATGAGCAAGACCACCTGGTTTCCTACACTCCAGCCCCTTGAGATCACTGCGGGTTTAGGGGTCACTGCACATCTTGCTCTAGTAAGGCAGGAAATACCGTGGCTCTTGAAAGTGTGGTTTCACTGTGGCAGCAAATACAAAATTACTCATGTGACTTCCTGCTTCTGCCCTCAGTGAATCAGCGAGTGAATGCGGGGGGAGCCATTTGTAGAGTCCTGCTCTGACTCAGCCTGCTTGCTCTACCGCTGGCCTCTTACCCTGACTCATTGTTGCCCAGCACGTACATTGTCATTTACGCCAGTGGAAAGTGGGTGTAAAATGCTACACAAGCCAAGTGTCAGCATTCTGCCCTCTGAACTGGTGAGAGTGCAGAGCAGTGGTGAATGACCCCTTTGCCACCCTGACATCGAGCTGGAAATAGACTTAATCTTTTCTCTCCCTCAGCTGCCTTGACAGCCCTTCTTTCCATCCCGCAGGGTCACATAAGCCGTCTGAAGAACTTGGTGGCGCCTGAATATTCTTACTTATGGGTCAGGCCCTCAGTGTCCCGAGAGCAGCTGCAAACCATTTCAGCAGAAGTGGATGAGATAGGAAAGCTGGTCATAGGGTAAGTTTTTCAGATCTCTGGCATCATTTTATAATCCCTTGCCTATCGGAGCGAACTGTTTTTCTGGTGCTGCTGAGTTAGTGCTTAGTCTCCTAAAAGCAATAGTTTGGTTGTATGCAAAAGGGTCATTTGGGGCAGCTCCTACTGTCAACGGGAATGCCTCACTTCCATGTGTCACTAGACTGAGAGGGCATCTTCTCTCCCAAAGGCTGATGGAAGGGCAGACTGCTGCTCTGACTACAGAAGGGTTAAATGAAGACCTGAGAGGCCTACAGGAGCAGATAAGAGGGACCAAGTACAGCAGCATGATGAAACTCCTCCGGTTGGCCCTCAGTGGACAGCAGGTAAAAGCCATTTGAAGTTGAGACCTTCCCATCCAGTGATAACAGCCTGCTCTCTGGTCACAAGATTTAGCACCGAAAAGCCTATGCCATGAGAGAACTCGCCCTGGTTTTTAACAATCATTTTGGACCAATGGAGGAATTTATTGATGGTTACATCATGAACCATGACACACACAAGAACCCAAAAGCTGACAATGCCCCTTACAAACAAGCCAGCTGCCTTTCCAACCACATCGTGCTAATGTGAAAAAAGCTCCTTGGCAGAGAGGGATGCTAAGAAAGGCAAGAGGTACCAAGCCATCCCCCTAGAGTTGCAAACCTGTGGTTGGAAAGGCAGCTGGCTTGTTTGTAAGGGGCGTTGTCAGCTTTTGGGTTCGTGTGTGTCATGGTTCATAATGTAACCAACAATAAATTCCTCCATTGGTCCAAAATGATTGTTAAAAACCAGGGCGAGTTCTCTCGTGGCATAAATCCTCTGAGTTTGATGGCGCTACCCCAGCAGAGAAGTTGGCCTGATGTTGCGGACTTTTCTTCCCAGACGACAGAACCAGAGTCTTATATTAAATTTCAGGATATTTTAATCGCAGGTGACTGACAACTCATCATTCAGTCATCTCCAGTATAGAGTGATACAGACTTGTACCCACTGGATGTTACCAAGGGAGAAACATAAAAAACTCCAACTTCTGATAGCGTTGTGATGAGCGCAGTGTGGGAATGTGAGTAGAACAACAGAGTGCTGGCTTTCACTTGTGCAATGTCTTTTGTGTGTGTTTTCAGCACGGACCAAGTGTTGCTGAGATGATGGTTTCCTTGGGACCTAGAGAAGTGTGTGAACGGATAAAGAAGGCACTCTCCAACTAGCAAGAAGCTTCCTAGAGGGAATGGCTCCAGCAGACAGCACTCCCCTTCAGATACTCCGAGCCCCATGTGTTCTTCAGTACCTCGGCCTAAATTCTGTGGTCACAGTATTTTCAGAGGAACTGGGCCTTATACCGTGCTGAATTTGTGAGAGTGCCATCAGCACACTTGCAGATCTCTGTGTGTCTTCATGAGGCATAGCCTAGTTCATATAAGGGGTGCAACTGAATTCAGATTCAAACCTGCTTCATTGTCTTCATCTCATGGGACCAGGCTGGCATTCAGATTGGGATATGGAGTCCTTCATCTTAACTGTATGTTCAAGTCTAGCTTGGCAGTGACTGAAAGTGGTTACTTCTGATGGCTGTTTGATTTCCCATAAGCCACCAGCAGTGTCCACATGACCCAGAAACCATCACAGCTGATGCTAATTAGCCCCCAATTGGCAATATGAGCAGAGAGGTCACATGTAAATGGGCAATGTAGATTTGATCTCCTTAGCCATACAAAATGCCCTTCCAGGTCTGGCTTGATGCATGTTGGTGGGGACTGTTGTGTGAAAGAAGTGTACACTTTCCACTGTCTCTGTTCTGTGGGTGACTCGAGGACTTTTCTTTCTAGCGCTGTAACCTGCATTTTTCATGAATACTTAATTCTATTTTTTAAAGAAGTCCCTGATGTTTTTGTTTTTGAACTGGACCGAGGAAAAGATAACGAACAGCAGTTTCGGTGCTAGAATATCACAGTGCACATGGTCATTTCCAGTTAGCAATTTGATTTTTAAAGCCCCTTTTTTGGACAAATGCACTTTCATTCTGACATGAAATTGGGACGCAGGATCCTTTCCTTGCAAGTAATCTTACCTGCCTCCCCACAAACCCCGCCCCATTAACGCAGCAGAGAAAACGGGCACATTTGTACAACTGTGTCTAAATGTGAAGTGAGTGTGTAACTCTTTCCTATATTAAAAATCTGTAAATGTTTTACTGTGGCCTTCTCTCAGCAGTTTGAGTGCATTTGAGGTGGGGAAGTGTCCAGGTCATTCAAGATCTGTACATCGGCGCTGCTTGGTTTTACATGTAGTAAGTTCTCTATAAACCATGGGATAGGTTGGGAATTGAGTGATCCGAGTGAGAATGTGTATTGTGTTGTGTAAGAGACTATACAAAAATACTGCTTGAAGTCCTGATTTGAAATTTGACCTGCAAAATGTTTAAATGTGAATATGATGCTGAGTGATGAGACCAGAAGGCTCTGGGGATTCTTATTAATCAGTTTTCAGAAGGGTGGGTAGTAGCTTTCTCTCTGGAAATATTGGATTATCATGGATAGGTGCTTTCTAGGGAACATCAAGCTACTGTATGCTCCCCCTCAATGTCCAAGTGTTGCATTTTAAACATATGTGAGTTTACTTGTGGATAAATAATGATGGGCCCTATTTTGTTCTGAAGTCAACACAAGCATAAGTGCGACAAATTGAATATAGTAACGTGCAAAGTCTGGAACTAGGTTGGGTGTATCCCACAGATTTAACACTTGCTCCTTAGAGCACTGATGGCCACTCAAACATGTTCCAAAACTATGCTCAGATCTGAGCTGTATGTTCCCTGTTAAGCCGTGGGAGAAATGCACTTTTAGTCCGTCAGGAAAGGAGGCTCATGAAGTCGAGGTGGTTGGGAATGTTCCACCTTCAAAGCGTGGGGCTCTCTGCTGGGGAAGGTGTGCCGTGTGTGCTGTCATAGACACATGTTTTACTTGTGGTATGCGAATCATTAGATTGGGGGGGGGGTTGCAAATTTCCGTGTGCCCTCCCTGCTGTAATGGTGGGGTGAGGGAAGTGCAGACCTTAGCTCCCGTGTGGCTGGAGCCTGGGGAGAGTGCAGCTCCCAGCATATACTGGCCTAGGGTGACCAGATGTCCCGATTTTATAAGGACAGTCCCGATTTTTGGGTCTTTTTCTTATCTAGGCTCCTATAACCCCCCAGCCCCGTCCCGATTTTTCACATTTGCGGTCTGGTCACCCTACCTGAGCTGGCCAGGGGAGGGCAGGTGGACCGAGGCAAAGCCCTGCAGTGGGGGCCTGAATTTAACAGAGGGCACCTGTGCGCCAGAGCTGACGGGCGACGGGGTCTCTTGCCTGTTGTACAAGGCGCTGGCTCTTGCCCGCGGCGGTGCTGGGCTCCTGTGGACTCCACATGGCAGCTGCCGGTCCCGGCCTCTGCCCTGGGACCTCTGACAGCCCCTGGCCTGGCCCCAGGGGGGTGTTTTACCCGCTGTGTAAACGGGCTTGTGCCCCGCCCCAGAGGCGGCTGCACGTGGGGGCGGGGACCCTGTAACCCCCCATGCGGGGCCGGACGCTCGGGAGCGGGTCGCCGCGGCTCTGGGCGGAGCAGGGGGCCCGGCGGGGCCCGGCCTGGCCCGTCAGGCGCCGCCTCCCTGCGCCGCGGCTGCGTCAGCGGCGGGGCCGGGGCCGGGCGAGTCGCCATGGCTGAGGCGGGCCTGGGGGCGCTGGAGCAATGGCTCCGTGAGTAGCGGGCCGGGCCGGGCTGGGCTGTGCCCGGGGAGGGGGCGGGTTGGACAGACGGACTGGGTGCCCCAGGGGAGTGGGTGGGTCGGACTGACGGACTGGGTGCCCCGGGGAGTGGGTGGGTCGGACTGACGGACTGGGTGCCCCAGGGGAGTGGGTGGGTCGGACTGACGGACTGGGTGCCCCGGGGAGTGGGTGGGTCGGACTGACGGACTGGGTGCCCCAGGTGGTTGCAGGTTCCCTACAGAATTGGCTGCCTGCCTGGTTTTCCATTGCCCCCTACATCCCTTGCTGCAGGCCAGGAGCAAGAGGCAGGGAGGCCTTGGCAAAATGGGCTTGGCAAAGGGGGCTGACAGTCGCTGCCCTGCAGCGGGCAGAGCTCCAAGTACGTCTCACCAAGAAGGCGCTGGGCAGAGCCTCCTCTTGAGGAGCAGACCCTGACAGCCAGTCACTCCTGGGTAAACCCCTTTGGTTTCACTCGAGTTATGGTGGGATGAAGTTTGCCTACTTAGCTCCCCCTTTGCTCATCTCCATAGCAGGAGACAAATAGCAGTGTTCTCTCTTATGTGTCAGTCTGGGAGAGCAGGCACAGTCTCAGCGCTTGTCTACATTACCGCTTACGTCAATGTAACTTACGTCGCGCAGGGGTGTGAAAAAGACCCCCCCCCCCCCGGCCAACGCAAGTTACAGCGACCTAAGTACTGTCCACACCAGCGCTATGTTGCCAGGAGATGCTCTCCGCTGACATAGCTTCCGCCTCTCATGGAGGTGGAGTAATTATGCCGATGGCGAGAGCGCTCTCCCGTCAGCGTAGAGCATCTTCGCCACACGCTACACCGATGGTAGTGTAGACTAGCCCTCAGCTAGGCGCCGAGTGCAGCACTCCCTGGAAGGGTCACCATTTCCAAACAACAAGTAACTGCTCAGGCAGAGACCATCTGAGCAGGCTGCCCAGAGCAGAACGAGGAAGTAGCACCTCATCTTGTGTTTTCGGTTCAGGGTGACCAGGGAACAGCTCAGTAATGGGAAAAGGCTTCTCAGACCTGACCTAACCAACCTACCTAGGGCCAGGAATTAAATCCTAGGACCCAGGGAGAAATAGTAAGCTAACGATGTATCAATTTGGGGCTTTTGGATAGCTTAGAATGAGGTGCAAACTGTCGCACAGCCCACGTCACAGCAGACAGTCAAACAGCAGCTACAGCTGAATATTTGATTTTAAAATTCCATTAGTTGTTTGTGGGGCTAGTTTTCAAAGCTGTCTAAGTTTTCCTGTAACACCTAGCACAGACCTTGGAGGTGAAAGGCCAGCATTTTAAACCACTGCTAGAGCGAGACCTGTGGGTGTAAGTTTGTTCAAGCAACTACTAATCAAAGTGTAGTCACAGTGGTGTTACCCAAAGGCTGTGTTATTCTGCATATATTGCCTGTCTCACTTACTAAGTTTCAGGTTGTAAAATGCAGCCTTGTGCTAAGGCATTTAGCAACACCACTCTGCAAATACCTGGCTCCCTGGGACTGCTGCTGTAATGAAGGGGCAACGTGTTTGCTTGGTCATCTTAAGCCATTTCGTTTTCACACACATCCCCTAGAAACCTGAGTCAATCCCACAGTTATTGTAAACCTGAGTCACCCATGAGCCCTGCAAAGTGTAGCTGTGAGCAGTCTGCACTGGAAACAATTGTGAGGAGACGTAACAAATGAAAAGGTCTCACACTTGGTTGTTTATATATGGAGATATACCTATCTCCTAGAACTGGAAGGGACCCTGAAAGGTCTTTGAGTCCAGCCCTCTGCCTTCACTAGCAGGACCAAGTACTGATTTTGCTCCAGATCCCTGAGTGGCCCCCTCAAGGATTGAACTCACAACCCTGGGTTTAGCAGGCCAATGCTCAAACCAAGTTTATGTAGGCTGAGTTGTATGCCTGGCTTGGCCCCATGGGGTGGTCTGACTGGAGTGGGGGCAAAGGGCCCACCTGGTGGAGGGATGCAAGAGGCTTTCAGCAGCCTACTGTCCACTAGAATCAGGCTCATGGAATACCTGTGTTTTGCTGCAGGCAGAGGAGGCTGGTACCCTAGCCCTAAACCTAACCCTGAAGTCACTGCTTCACGCCTGGATCCGGAGGAAATCAAAACAGTTTGATGAATGGAAATCAGGCTTTTCTGGTTTTCAGATTTTCACCAGAATTTTATAGGGTTTTGCCCATTGATACTTGAGTATTCTCTGAAATGTTTTAAGTCATCAGATGTGGTTTTCAAAAGTTGCTGCATTACAGACAGAGAAGGGCCATCGAGCTGAGTGTACAGTCTGGCTTTTCTGGGACAAATGCAGAGGATGGCATCATGATTAGCCAGAGAATGTTCCTCAGCCTAGGGATCTATCCTGTCTTTGGTTCACATCTGTTGCACTGAATTTTGGAAGTTTAATTAAAGCAAAACTTCATCTCCCAGAAATTGTGGGAAAGCTGGAATCCAGCTGTTGTCACATTCCCCTAAACAATGGGGACCAAATTGATCACTGGTGTAAGTAGGTGCTACCCGGTTGACATCTGTGGGGTAGCACCCACTCACACCAGGGGGAAATCAGGCAAAGAGAGAAAGGAGAACAGTCTGAATGAGCTTGGAAGGTGCCTAGACTGCCCTAAGGGCACATAGCTGTATGTAATGTAACTGTCCATAGATGGGCCCTAGGTAGGGGGCAGAAGCCTGTCCAACACCTCTGGGAGTTTAATAGCCCCCACTACTTCCTGCCAAAGGTAACATCACTACTTTAACACCTGCCTATAGTTAATGATTGTACTTCTATGTGTTAGTCTCAGTGATGCTGTACTCGTAACACTGAGTCTGGCCCTGTATTAACCAGCAGCTCTGCCTGTTTGATAACAGTCCTGGAGCAGCAGGTGACAGCGCAGTGGGAGTGAGTATGGAGCCTGGAGGAATTGTAATGGGGAAGAATGTATTTTGAACTCTCTCATCAGTTAGTCACTTGTATACATCTCACACTGAGATGATCTTTTCGTCTCTTCCCTGTAAGATAAAGCCACAGACCCAAGCATCCCTGAAGAAAACTGGGAATGTATCCAGCGGTTCTGTGACCAGGTGAATGCAGACCCGGAAGGGTAAGCTAGACAGAAGGTCTCTTTGCATTCTCTCTGCACTGTGCATCTGGCTCTGAGCTTTTCTGACCTCAGAGGGGGAGGATAATCTATAAATTGCCGTTTTGTAAGACCTTAGGAAGAATGGCAGGGAGTGGCTAATTACTGTGACTCCTGGAGATGCCTGTGTAAGAAGTGGGTAGATAAAGAGTGGCCAGATTATTGCGACATTGTGGTAACATGGCAGATCTAGAGGAAAGGACTTTTCATTTAGCATGAGACTGCACCTTCTCCCCCTCACAGTCTCAGAGGTGGTCAGATCCCACCCTTTGGTGTTCAGAATTCCTGTGCTATGAGTGGGATGCTGATTTCTTCTGGGCTGTGTTGCAGAGAAGACCTGAGCATCTGTAGCTATTGATGTGGCTTTAGCTGCTGGTCTCTGGGAGGTGAGGTCTCCACCAGGGCTTTCCCCACCCCTGCAGCTCATGGGATTGTCTCTGATGTATGCAGCAAAGCATACACACTGATGAAGTGAAAGGGCTGATAAAGGTCCCCGAGGTAGCATTTCTGTTGAGCAGATGCACATAATTTCTGTCTATAGAACTTGCACTTGTTGCCTAATGAACATTCCTGCTGTGGAAGACTTTGAGACAAAGGGCCAGCCGTGATGAACAGCAAAGTGGAGCACTTCTGCTAAATGCTGAGTGACCCAGTTAATGTGATGCTTCTGCAAAGAGTACACTGCCCTCTCACTCCCCGCTTTTCCATTCTAGGGGACAGCTCTTAGAGCAGCTGTAATCAGCACTTGCAGGACACGTCTGGCTTCCTTGCCTGCATTAATCTCTTCCTTACTTCTTGTGTGTATAACCCCAGCATTGTGCCGGGCGGGAGGGTTGCTGTGATGTGGTGTATCTGTGAACGTGGTTGCAGGAAAAGTAGCAGTGTTTGCTTTTCTTCAGACTTCCTGCCTGATCTGACTTGCTGCTTCTTCTCCCTAGCCCGTCCATTGCACCCAGGCTGCTAGCACATAAGATACAGTCGCCTCAGGAGATGGAAGCTCTTCATGCCTTAACAGTGAGTGCTTCCATCAGCACACAGACATGGGCTGGGAGAAGCTGGAAATGGTTTTCTTGTGATAGATTTTTGTATCTGTCTCTTTTAAAAAAAAATTAGTGTCTCTCCCTTTTAACCCTTCACTGCGTTCAGATTTGTAACCCTGTTCCTGTCACTCATCATGGTTACCAGGATTCCTTGTGCATTCACAGCCGTAAGATTCCCATCATCCCAGTGATTCCATATGCCTCGATAATCCCCTTCATATCAAATATAATTTCCCAAATTACTATCTAATCTGTCCCAGCTCCTCCCACCCCTCTTTCCTGATTTACAGCACCCCTAGCTATTCCAGTCCTAGGCACCTCTTGAGCGGAGATTTCTGGTTCTGCCAGAATGTCTTTTGCTTTTCTCATGTGAACAAATGTCGGATAGGGACTAGACTGAGGCTCCGCCCTCCTTTCCTACTGGTGGCCAAGCGCAGATATGGAGGCTGGCTCCTGGAAGTTAGAAGCCATCACCCGTCAGCTCCCTTTGCCACTCAGTCCCTGAAGCTTACAGCCTGAATGTTGTGTGTGGTGATTATGACAGGAAATGTCTTAGCCATTGTCAATGTCTGTATTTATACCTTTGAAGCGCTGCCAGTTTGCTCTTGCTCGTTCATTTTAAACGGGTGAAAATGAATGATGGATTTGGGTAAAAATGACTCGTGTTGCCTAATTAGCAGTTTCACCTAGGGTACTATGCTTTATCTGTGTCTGTGCTGCTAACAGGTTCTTAGATCTTTGTCTCGATGGAAGAGGTTTTAAAATTGCCTGGTAAGTTTGTTTTATGTCTCATGCTTTCCCCTCCTCCTCCCAGGTGCTGGAGACATGTGTGAATAACTGTGGTGAAAAGTTTCACTACGAAGTGGCAAAATTCAGATTTCTGAATGAACTGATAAAAGTGCTGTCCCCGAAGGTATGTGCCCAGCCACCCCGATCTAGCAGGCAAAGTGCACTTTTAATCTCAGATGAGAAAATGTGAACTTCATACCAATTCCACATAGGAACTGAGTGTGATTGTTTTGCTGTGCTTCCCTGGGACAATGAATGGCAGGGGACAGGCTATGAATTTCCCAGCAACAAGGATAATAATTGAAACATCTCTTTCGAATTCAAAGGGGGAGGGGAGATGGGTACAGAGTTGGGGTGAAATCTAAAAGCATTGAACAACTTGGCGGGCGCCATGAGAAGGCCAGTGTGAGGAAGGTGCTTGGTGTGCCAGGGCCCAGGTCGCGTGGTAGTAACTGTTGGTAAATACAGTAGGTTTTAATCCTGGTTGTCTCTTTCTGGGGGACCTTTCCTTCTTTTTACTGCTCTGAACTCCACTGCAATGTGTCAGTGACCCTAGAAGAGCCAATCTGCTCTTGTCATTCCCCAGCTTGCGCTTCGCAGGGTTGGACCCTTCGCCCCGCACAGTAAGAGGGGGGACTCCATATGGGTGGCAGTGGGAGGAGTGGCTCACGGGCCACGTTTTGGCCTTGTATCATAGGCCCTTCCCCCGCCTTCCTGCTCTCTCTTCAAATTCCAGCCTTTGGAACTGTTCTTCTTAGGCTTTTGTCTTCAGTGCCTACACACAGCACAAGCCCATGAGAGCCCCATGGGTCCCTCTCCCTGGGAACATCCCGAAAGCCCAGATAGGGAACTGTGAACTGCCAGTAGGCACCTGGAGACTCTGCCCTGACTTGCTTCAAGTGAGAGATTGGGGGGACTTAATTTGAGTTCTGCAGGGTGCTGTCTCTGCTGCTCAGCTCTCTTTCTGGGGTGTGCGCTACACCCTGCTCCCACTCAGCTTCCTGGATGTCGCCTCCACGTCTCCTGGGAAAAGTAACTGCTAGGAATAGGAATTTTAGTTTGGAATGCTAAAGAAGCTCAATGTGCAGAAAGAATAAGCTCTCCAGTGCACTGACGCCTCCTGTAATAGTGGGAAATGGAGAGTCATTTACATCACTTACTGTGCATGATCATCACCTCAGTTCTTTGGGTCAACTAGGAAAACTGGGACCTTTTTCTCAGTTTGGTAATTTGTTTAATAATTACAGGGACACTGTCAGGTTAAATATCATGGGCTTGGTTTGCTCTGCATTACCCCAACTCTGTGGCAGAGGACGACCTCCATTGGTTTCATGGGAATGTTTAAATCTAATGAAGCTGTTTTCATTGTAGTTAAAAACCAAATAGGTTAAAGCAAATGCTTCTGTTGAGTTTGGATTTAGGAAAACCTAGTTTTAGTGGTGCTCCACCAGTTCAGAGCTGGGGTAAAGTCATGAATCATAGAATCTCAGGGTTGGACGGGACCTCAGGAGGTCATCTAGTCCAACCCCCTGCTCAAAACAGGACCAATCCCCAGCTAAATCATCCCAGCCAGGGCTTTGTCAAGCCTGACCTTAAAAACCTCGTTTAAAAACTTTGAAGAATCAAGCCTCATATTTTAAACACCAGGTATCTGTCTCTGGATTCATAGTAATGTCTGAGATTATTAAAACTAAAAGAATTTTAAAACTCACATTTACCTTTCACCATTCATCCTGGTTGGTTTTACATTTTATTCAACAAGGTGTTCGGATACTATGGTGATCGGGACCTACAAGTGTCTAGAAAGATAAAACTTGGGCACTGAAAACATACTGTGCAGTTTCACTTTTGTTCATGGTCAGTTTTCAGTTTGTTTTGCTCTGGCTCTGGCCAGGTTGTAATGCTGAAGGGGGATGTTTAAATCCAAGCAGGAAACTATTTTCAGTGTAATTAAAAACAAATGAAAAAGAATACTTTATATTGATCCTGGATTTGGTAAAACCTGACCACAGCAGCACTGAATGTGCCATCATTTTTGTAGTGATAGATGATTTATATAAAATTCTACACATTTAATAATACAGCACTTACATATATAGCACTGTAATTGTATGTGGAATTGTATCTTCTGTAATGTGTACAGTTGACAGCACTCTGAATAATGCATTGAGAACCCATTTTCACCCCAGTCTTTCAGCATGAACATTCTGGGCAGAATCCCTGACTCCTGTCTGACAGTAACTTGCTGGTTGTAATCACTTACTTTTTTGTTTTCAGTACCTTGGAACCTGGTCTACAGAAAAGGTCAAATCGAGAGTTATAGAAATAATGTTCAGTTGGACGGTGTGGTTTCCTCAGGAAGTTAAAATCCGGGACGCTTATCAGATGCTGAAGAAACAAGGTTTAGTTCTGTTATTTCAGTTTCCTTTTGTCACATCAAAGTCATGTGGATTCAAACCATGAATAGCTGAGTAATTGTTTCAAAGCTCATCCCATGTGATTTGACTTTTCCATAAATGATTATTTGTACAAGATGAAGGTTTAAGGGACAGATTTACAAAGAGATTTAGGCACTTAAAGCTGCCAATAAACAACTAGTGGGATCAATAAAAGCACCTCAGGAAGTTAAATCCTATTAGGTGCCTACCTGCAAACTTATAATAATAATAATAATTAATAAATCCCTAGCTCTTACATAGCGACTTTTCATCAGTCGATCTTAAAGCACCTCAAAGTCTTTTCATGTATTTATCTTCACAATACCCCTGGGAGGCAGTGCAGGGCTGTTATGCCCACTGTACAGATGGGAAACTGAGGCACAGAGCAGCTAAATGACTTGCCCAAGGGCACACAGGAAGTCTGTGGCAGAGCAGGACATCTAAGTGACGTTCTTGTCTCCCAAATATTAGGCTAGTGCCATATCCATGCCCATCCTTCCTCTGTATCTGAATAGCATTCTAAATAAATAGCTTCCTAAAGACCATTGTGCCTACACAGGTCTGTAAATCTGGCCCTGACTCCTGCTACAAGAAGCTTCTGCTTTAGTTGTACATAGTTGGCTACCGGTTGGCCCTGTGCTCTGGCAACAAACATCTTTTGTACACTTGACAGGCACATTAAAAGGCTGTCCTGTTGTGAAGCCGTTTGTGTGGTGGTGTCACGTGCTAGATACCCTTGCTCTCTTTCAGTGAACTACAACGCTGTCAGAGGAAAGCTTGTGTATTAATGAGATGAGGAGGGTGTGGAAGTGCCCAGGGATTGGGGTGGCTAGAATCGGAGAACCCACAACTGTTAGCTATTTGGTAGGGCTAGAGAGAAGTAGGTTAGTATAGAACGTGCTGCAAGACTAGGTAGGGGTAAAGAAAGTGCTGCCTTATTGGATGGGTGGGAAGCAGAGGGCAGACAAGGTGTCTGTCCACAGAGCTGCAGTGGGGAGACCAGAGGAACTGCACCCAGCCCTGAGAAGAAGAATAACCCAGATCTGCCAGTGGCAACCAAAGCCTCTTTCGGATGGGAGTGTGAGCAGCCGGAAGCTTGGGATTGTCTGTCTCAGTGCAGGGCTGGCACTGATGGATCTGGCAGCTGCCCAGACGGGGTGGTTAGACCAAACTTGCGTGGACCCTTTGTCAAATCCCGACTTGTAAGAGTATTTTTTCAGAGGCCAGGGCTAGCGTTTGTTGGGGAGGGTTTAGATTTGTTGGGAAGCCTGCACTAGGCAGGACCTGGAGGTATCAGATTAGATGGCCTGCAGAGGTCAGGTGGACAGTAAATCAGTCAGCTGGCTGGATAGCACCGATCTTCACAAAACCAGTCAGCAGCCTTGTGTGTGACTGGCTGCAATGTCTCCTGCATGCAGCAGTGGATTCAGCTGGGTAAGATGAGGCCCTAAAACATAAGCCCTTGTATCAGAGGCCCAGTATGAGACCTAAAGCCTGAACTAAAGTAATGGTCAAGACTTTGCTAACATAAAGCAAAGTTAAGCTGTGAGCCAGAGGCAGGCCCTGCTCGCAGAAGCTGGCAAGAAGAAGGCTGATGTTGCAAATATACACATACCTAAAAGGTACTAAGCACTAGTAATATAAACATGTGCCAGGATGGTACCAGAACATTCCGGTACTAGCACATTCCACATAGATAACAAGGAGCAGGCTGACCCATCCTAAAGACAGGGGCAGGAGGGTAATATGATGGATAGAGTTGTTTTGTTCCAACCAACATGTACCAAGTGAGAGGCGGCACCCTAACACGTAGAGGGGTTGTACCTCTGTATGTCAGGAGTGATGTGTAACTTGTTTGCACCTGTGTATAAGAATGCACCCCTGGGGCGGTGTCTTTGTCTGGCCTAGGGGGCAGTGGAGAGTCCCGCCACTGACTGAGCCGGTCCATTGTTGGGGGCACATATTCGTAGTATGTCCTGTAGAGTCTGCAGGGAACTATTACTGTGCTTCGTTTGACAATAAACCTGGCCAGGTGTCTTGGTACCTTATCGGAGTCTGTGGTCATTGGGGGTTCTCTCGGGGTCTGCTGTGCCAGCGATCTGCAGAGCCGGGGCAGCACACAGAGGGAACACGCGCACACAGCCGACTGTTATCAACATTGAACAGAGTGGAGCACCACACCGGTGACGTCTGACGACATCAGCCTGTCACGCATGTGTCTAGGAGGGAGTGAAAGAGAATTTCACAGAAACTCTGAGGCTGCCTCTGCTGTGTGTTCATGTTAGTGAGCTGCCTGTGTTTTGGCTCTGGGCTCTGGCAGATGACCCTGCAGGGCTAAGCAGGCTCAGAAAGGATTTCTGACCTGCCTAATTCTGAACTAATGGAGAACAGAGCCCTTTCTGGGAGATGGTGCCACAGATTCCCCTCTAGGGAAACCACCAAGCTTTTATTCCTCATTCCCCCATCTTCCTGTCCTGAAAGCCTCCCCCACCCTTTCCCTTGATCTCAGACAGCCAGGTGAGTCGTGTATTTCTAGCATGTACCTGCTTTTGGGGTACATGCTAAGCCCACTGGTTGCTTCTTCCCCTCATTCCTTAAAATCGTGTTGGGGCACTCAGTTGCCAGCAGACGTGGTAGAGGTCAGCAGGGTCCGGTACCCAGCTGAACACTGTGCAACGCTGCATGGGGGCTGGTAGAATCTCTCTCTCTCTCTCTATTCATTTCAGGAGTCATAAAACAAGACCCCAAACTCCTAGAAGACAAAATTTTACCACCTCCTTCTCCGAGACCTAAGAATTCTATTTTTGATGTTGATGAAGAGAAATCCAAGGTAAATCTCATGTTTTCAAATCTGTGTCCTCCTCTGGCTAGGTTCTATTGTCAGGAGAGTGCGTGTGGTCGTATTTTGGGCCTTTACAGTTCCAGGGAGAAGATCTCCTTAGAATAATGCTAATACTTAGCCTTTGTGCAGCATGAAATGTGCTATCTAATAAGTAACCCTATCACCCTCTAGTCAGACAGGTGAGTATCATTATCTCTGTTTGGAGACGGGGAAACAGAGGCACCGAGGATTATGTAACTTGCCCTATGCCCCAGAGAGAGTCTGTGTCAGAACCAGTATTCATTTTTCTAAACCTCTGGCTTGTATTTGTCACCTGTTTTCCTTACGCCCTGTTGACTATAGTTTCCTTCTGTCCTCTTGCTGACATGGGCAGGCAGCAATTCAAGCTCAGTGAGGCTGGCAGCCTGTGAGGCAGCAGTGTGACCCTGCCCAAATTGTGAGACTTGAGTCCACATGTCTGTAGGGCTATAGCCCAGCTATGGCAGTAGGGCCCTGGACACATCTGCATTTATTTGGTGTGTGGCTGCATTCTGGTGCCTGGGGCTGTTGCTCACGCTGTCTGTCTTCTAATGGTCTCCACTCAACAGCTCTTAGCAAGACTTCTAAAGAGCAACCACCCTGAGGACCTGCAGGCAGCCAACAGGCTGATCAAGAGCATGATTAAAGAGGTAGGCACCATGAGAGGCTCACAGCTCCCTGTGTCAAAGCAGCTGCTGCTGGCAGGTGTGGGGAGAGGCGGGAGGGGAGGGGAGGCAGTTTCACAGTCTGGTTTTACGGTAACCCCCTGAAGCACTGTGTGCGTAATGTCTGCCGCGGCTCACAATGAGGCAGAGCTTGGCGCCACTTCCCGTTGGCAGCTCACGGGTTTGCCTGGTCAGAGAACAACTTGTTTAGCTATAACCGAGAGGAGAGTTTGAAGACTGCGCAGCACAAGCTGGTGCAGCTGGGGTGAAATTCGCCCTGTGTAAAGGACCAGAACAAGGCCCATGCGTTCTGGGGCGTCTGGCTCAACCCTTGGCACTTCAGGTGCTGCACTCTGACGGGGTGAATTTCACCCACAGCGTCTAGCACTGAGGTGTGTTGTGTGTCCTTTCTAGCACGGTTCTCTTTTTTATGGAATACCGGTAGAAATTACTGGCCAGGCAATGGGATATTGAGGAAGTCCAAGCTATCTGCGTAATGTGTGATGAGGTCATTGGCTAAACCAGGGATTTCATCCCCTTTGCCCTGTGTTTTATTTTGTCTCAAAGGAACAAGAAAAATCTGCCAAAGTGTCCAAAAGACTGAATGCAATTGATGAGGTTCACAGCAGCGTGAAGCTACTGGGTGAAATGCTGACCAGCTACAAGAGGCAGGAGTTATCCAAATCTGACCTAGAGATTCTGCAGGTGAATGACTCCTCCTGCCTGGAGGCTCATTGATTCGGTATCACTGGTGGTGTCTAGCAGCGACGGGATGTGAAAACTGGGGGCAGAGCTGTCTGTTAATCTGTACATGTGAGTGTTGTGACTGGCAGGGGGTAGATCCCCCTCCCTCGGGGTGCGGTAAATCCCAGGGAATTCCCTCCAGGCCAGGTGTGGTTAGCCAGATACCGCAAGACCTGACTGGATGTGCTGAAAGCTGGAGATGCTCTCTCAGCCCATTGGCCACATCGATTTCACTTCTGAGTGTAAATCGTTCTAAGTTAAGGAAACATCTGAGCCAGCTCATGGGACTGGTAGAGAAGCTGCCCGGCCCCCAAGTATCCACCAGCACCACAAACATATTCCAAAAGCAAAACGCTTTGGGGGGTTGAATTTATGGTAAGTGGAAAGATCTCTTCCCTTGGCTGAGAGCAACCCAGTGAGATGTTGTGTTGGGCTGGTGGGTGGTGGGTCACTTTCTGACTGCAGTGAGAGGCTGTCCTCAGAGTGGAAATGCTGGGCATGGTGCTGCTGTTGGGAGGAGAGTTACAAATTGCACATTTGCTTCCTTTGGTGAGTGCCAGTTTTAGTGGCCATGATGCTTTTACTATACGTTGAATTCTAAGATAAATCCACAAACTCCTGGGTTCCATTTCTTTTAAGTTGGACAATGTTGCACAGTGAAATCTGTCCTGCAAGACCCATCTGCATGTGTAAAAGGGGTGAGGCTAGTTGGGAGGTTGGATGGGAAATTTCCTACATCAGTCTCTGCACCTTGGACTTATTGCAAAGGCTGCAAGTCTTTCATGGAAGTCATGGATTTCATGACTTTCCGGGACTTCTGCAGTGGCTGGTACAGCTGACCCCAGGACCGCCCGAGCAACTGGGGCAGTCCCGGGGCCAGCCGCACCAGTCACTGCTTGGGCGGCCCCAGGCAGCTGGTCCCGGAGCAGCAGCGGTGAAGCCCCCCGTTCCCCCCCAGCAGCAGCAGCGGAGCCCCAGGCCGTCCCGTCCTCCCCAGCAGCAGCAGCAGCGTCCGCAGGAGTGACCCCCCTGCCCCAGCACCTAAGATTTAGCTAGGGGTATTTTTAGTAAAAGTCACAGACCGGTCACAGGCCATGAATTTTTGGTTACTGCCCGTGACCTGTCCATGACTTTTACTAAACATACCCATGGCTAAATCGTAGCCTGACTTATTGCACATTTGAATGGGGCAGTAACAAGCTGAACTATCTTCTCTGGCGTCGACAAAGCCACCGCCTGGAACTGAGCAGAAAGCGTGGTTGCATTTTACCAGGGCTGCCTGTATAGCTAACTTCCTTTCCTCTGTGGCCCCAGAGACTGGGCCGGGGTTCTGAGGACCTGTGATCTGACAAGTAAATAGCCTGACTCTTGTTCTCTTCTCCAGAGCCTGTTTGAACGCTGTGAGAAGCTCAGGCCACTGCTCTTCCGCCTTGCCAGCGAGACTACTGACGATGATGAGGCTTTGGGTATGTAACAAGATGTGCTGCTGCTGTTCTTTCCTCGCCTCCTTTGCTCCCCATCCTACTGTCTGAGCTCTGGGTATTCGTGCAAGCAGGGTCTGTGTGACTCTGCTGACGTTACTGACCTGGCCTACCCATTCCTAACCAGCAGCATCCCTGCTGTTCCACTTCAGAGCCCCCCAGCTTTGGAAATGCACCTCCTTCCTCACCTGCCGCACCAGCCCCTGCTGTTCAGCCCCCTGAGCACGGGAGCAAACATATCAAAGGCTGCGATTTTGCTGAAGTGTAAACTATCCCCCCCAGCAAATAGATCAAGATCCCCAAACTCCCTGTGCTTTTGAGGACAGGATCTTAACCAAGAGCCATCTCCATCTCGGGGGTTCCATTTAATGTCTCTCACCTTCGTTTTGGGTTGTGGTGATAGCGCCCTCTGGAGTCAGGAGGCGAGTAGGCCCTTGGCTCCATCCATCAGGACTCTACCTTCCCACCTAAGGATATCTTGACTCCCTGCCCCCATGTCTCAGACGCAGGCACTGTATCCCTGTGTCCAGTGGTGGATTAATGCTTTTGCCGCCCTAGGCCCTGAAATAATTGCCGCTCCGTCCCAACTCCACCCTTTCCCCGCCCCCATTCCAACCCCTTCCCCAAAGTCCCTGCCCCAACTCCGCCCCCTCCCTGCCCCTATTGGATCCCTTCCCCAAATCCCCGCCCCGGCCCCGCCTCTTCCCCCAGCGTGCCATGTTCCCCCTCCTCCCCCCTCCCTCCCTGCCCCGCGAAACAGCTGTTTCACGGTGCAAGCGCTGGGAGGGAGGGGAGAGAAACAGGACGAGGAGGCGGAGGCGAGCTGGAGTAGGGGGAGCGGGGAGGGGAGCTTCTCCGTGGGTGCTCAAATTTGCCGCCCCTGCAAATTTGCCTCCCTAGGCCTAGGCCTTGTTGGCCTAGGTGATAATACGCCGCTGCCTGTGTCCCCAGCACTTCAGTCAGGCTCAGATCTAAGCAAACCAGATAGTAACAAAGAAAGTGGCAATTTAAGGGAACATGTCCCCCTGTCGCCCATTCCCAGCTTCTGGCATACAGAGGCCAGGGACACCATCCCTGCCCATCCTGGCTAAAAGCCATTGATGGACCTATCCTCCATGAACTTAGCTAATTCTTTTTTGAACCCTGTTAAGGTCTTGGCCTTCACAACATCCTGTGGCAAGGAGTTCCACAGGTTGACTGTGTGTTGTGTGAAAAAATACTTCCTTCTGTTAGTTTTAACCAGTGGCAAAGCTGAGAATCCCAGCTCCAGGCTGCAGCCTCTAGGCAGGGCTCACAGGGCATGTGTGTGACATCACAGCATCTCAGCTAGATACACGTAGGTCAGTCTGAGAAAGAAGCTGGTATTAAATGGACCTAACCTCAACCCCTGCAACAAAAGCCGAGTGGCCAGCTGGGCTTTTCCCGGTGTATGGCAGGTTCCCAGACACAGACTCTGGCTCTGTCGTGACCAACGCGGAATGTGGCACTCCATTACCCTCCTGTTAGAGTATTAATAATTCGTTTCTCTTCCTCTTTCCACAGCGGAGATTCTCCAGGCCAATGACAAACTCACCCAGGCGCTCGGCTTGTACAGGCAGGTTGTAGTGGGCCATGACCAGGGCAGGAGGAGTTCGGAGACCAGCTCTACTCATGCCTCAGGTAGAAAGGATCCCACAGGGTCCCCCACAGCTGCAAAGGAACCTGCTTCCTGGCTGGTTTACGGTGTCTGAATGGGGCTTGGCTGTTTTTAATTTATAAGGGCGGAATCACACTCAGAGGCTTGCTGTGTGAAAGGGGTCACTAAACCAAAAAGTTGGAACACCACTGAGCTAGTGCCTGGGTCAGAGTGGCCGGGGCGTAGCCCCAGGGATGGCAGCTCTTTAACGCTCTCTCTCATTCCCAAAGCACCTCAGTCCCCGCTGGGCAGTACGAAGAGCTACACACTGATCGACTTCTCCGAGCTGGGTTCCATGTTCAAGTCTCTCACGGAGCAGGGCGTGAACACGACAGCCGCGGCTCAGCACAGCAGCACCTCCGCCTACCTGCTCGACGAGGAGCTAATGTCATTAGGTCCGTCCTCGGGGTGCAGGGTTGGGGTTGTCCTTGATTCTTAGGGAATATGGTGTATATTGCAGATTCGGTAGCTTTCTTTTTAATGTTTGTCACGACCCACCCAGAGCCCTCTGAGCCAGGGCAAATGCTGGGAGTTTTCAGGGAGTCCAAGCACAGTCCAGTTCTGCTATTAGACCTCGTAGGTACTTGGCAAATGGGAGTGCCCTACCTGCTCTGATTGGTCTGTGCTTTGGTTACCTACCGTAGGTCTCAATGATTCCCCTGTTGGACAGAGACCGTCACCTGATTTCAGCTCCGTACAGGTGAGTGGTCCCCTGGTAGCGTAGTCCTCCATGTACAATCGACAGTTTTCTGCTGACCTAGCCTGCCCCAAGATGCATTAGCTGCAGGTTCCATTTCTCCGCCACACCCACACTTTTGGGGGCATAGAATTACAAGCAATAATGGCTGCCCCCCATTCCCCCAATGAGAGGTTGGCAATAATGTGCTGATCAATATTCGTGGAAGTCCAGCCACTGGGAGAGTTGATTTGGTACGAGCACCACTGACCCCTACTGGACAGAATCAGATCTACAAGTGCTCTGATCTTCCTGCGAGGGAGAGATTAGAAGATGCTCCGAGCCGCAATACTGTAGACAGCTAAGGGAGATTCTCCTTCAGCTTAGGTATAAAGGCACAGCCTTCTGCTACAGAAACAGGAGCCATGTGCTCCCTGTGCCTTGTAACACAGGAGGTCAAGGGACACTCCTGGGGTTTGTAGGTATCTGCGGATGCAGAGCCACCAGGATGGCAGGCTGGGGAGGCATTTGTGTCCCAGCCCTAGTCTGAGAGTGGCAGTGTTGTTGGGGTGGGACTTGCCACTACATTGCCTATAATCGTCCCGCTTCAGCCTGTGTTTAAAAAGAGGTTGTTTCAGCAGGACGTGTGTGGCTTCTGCTGGTGTTCTGTGGCTGCTCAGTGAATCAGGACCTCTTTATTTGGCAGGGTGCTGGGCACAATGGATATAATCAAACCGGAAATGCCGATACCCATCAAACCATGGTGCTGGGGGACAGCTGGCAGGGCGGCTCGCCAGAGAGGAATGCGCTTCAAGATTTGGCAGGGCAGCTGTCTCCGCCTCCTGTGACCAGGCCATTTCCAACGTAAGCAGACTGTACAGCACTGGGTTGGAAAATGGGAGTCCTCTGTTCTGGCACTGAAGTACGGGAAACCCCTCATCATCTGTTAAACTGCAACCTGCCCGTAGAGGGCAAGCTGCTTGGCGGCTCACTGTAAATTATCATTGGATATAACAGTCATTTCTAGCTTTGCTGAATGGCAAGCTCGGGTCTTCAGGTATAGCCAGCGCCACGTTTTCAAGGAGTTCTAACTTGATGGACAATCCCCAGGGTTAGTAGCAAGCAATTAAAAAGACGGGGACTTTTCAGCTTGGAAAAGAGACGACTAAGGGGAGATATGATCGAGGTCTGTAAAATCATGATTGATGTGGAGAAAGTGAATAAGGAAGTGTCATTTACCCCTTCATATAACACAAGAACCAGGGGTCAACAAATGAAATGAACAGGCATCAGGTTTAGAACAAACAAAAGAAGTATTTCTTCACACAAGGCACAGTCAACCTGTGGAACTCCTTGCCAGGGGATGTTGTGAAGGCCAAAAGTATAACCGAGTTCAAAAAAGAACTAGATAAGTTCATAGAAGACAGGTCCCTCAATGGCAAGTAGCCAAGATGGTCAGGGATGGTCGGTTCATTTCCTTTGAAGCATTGGGCATTGGCTGCTGTTGGAAGACAGGATACTGGGCTAGATGGACCAGTGGTCCGTCAGTCACACACACACACACACACACACGCACGCGCACACAATTTAAAATTGGGTCTTTTTCTAGCACTGTAACTCGATAACACTTGAAGCAGCTTTCTTCAAGTTTTGCCAACATGTTCTTCAAGGCCATTGGAGAAAATGTCACACTTGTCGGGCTAAATTATTCTTCCATCAATTTTAAGGCCCAAAAGGCCCATTGTAATGATCTAGCCTGACCGCTGGCCAGGGGATTTCACACAGTGATTCCTGCCTCAACTCCTTACTTTGTGGGGGAGCGGGAGCGTACTTTAATCTTGCTCCAGCATTCCAGGGAGACTGAAAACAGGGTTTGTAGTGGAGCCTGGCTGCAGCAGTCAGGGAGAGCCACTGCCAACACCCTGTAACTAAATCTACTCCCTGCCACAGAGACAACAGTTCAGCCTAACGAACACTGAAGCAGCAGCATCTTCAGTGTAACATAGTGCTGCCTGCCTGCCTCCAAACTTGACAACAACTCCCGTAAGTCTTCGGACAGTAGGTTCTTTGTGGATGATTCTGAGGGCAGGGCAGATGCTGGAGAGGACAGGATGAGATCCCAGACATGATCTCTTCAGTTAATGTCCGTTATCTGAATGTTTTTCCTTCCAGGAACTTACCACCAGTGCAATTGTCCGCGGCAGGCCTTCCGAGCAGCTTAGCTGCAGACGCTTTGTTCTCTGACCCAGCCTATGAGCTGAAACCTGCTGCTCCTTCGCAGCCAGCCTCCAATGATGCTGCTTTGGCAAACCTTTTTGTCCCACTCATTTCAATTACACCGAGTAAGTGCACTGATCTCTGTGTCCCAGCTCTGCTCACCGCAGCTTCTTTATGGCATTGAAGGCTGGGATTGCTCATGGGGTGGGGAAGGGCAGCTGGACAGATTTTAGGACGACTCTGCCTAGTACTTATCGTGTCTGAGCCCGGCCCTGGAGATGTACTTAGCCCTCCCTACCCATGGCCAGGTTGCCTCCTGTTCTCACGATACACATACGTGAACTGTACAGTGGGCTTTGAAACCTACAGGTGGCATCATCCTCTGCATAGCTCTGAGCAGCTCTCTGCCGGGCCTGGGCACCGGCTATGCCAGAGTTTGCCTTAACTGGTGCATTGGCAGGTTCTCTCTCTTCCATAAGCAGAGCTCTGCTCTTTTCCCTGTGATCCTGGGCCCAGCAAAGCAAGGTACGGCTGAAGCATGTCAATGTCATGTTAAAGGCCCAGGCTGTTACTGCTCCTTGAGCTATAAAGGTAGACTCAAAGGCTTCATTACCTCCTTGCCTGCCTTCCCTCTTTTACGTGAAGGACTTCAGCAGACTTTGGAGGGCCTGGACAGTGAAGTCCCAGCTGGATGGTAAAATCGGAGCTGCTACTCTCCCAGCCCGGACTTTAGGCAGGCTCAGGTTCCCTGTGCTCTGTCACAAAGGAGCAGCAGGACAGGTGCACACAGACACCTTTGGGCTTTGCACTGACCTGTGATGTTACTGAGGAAGATGACGGTTTGTGAGAACGTTTCCTTTTCTTTGTTCCTCATTCTGTCTCTCTCCTGTTCTCTCTCAGAAGGAAGGGGCGGTTCCCGCTCCCAGGTGGCCTTTGCATCCTCTCTGTTTTGTCTTTGACAGGCAGTATCCCTCCAGTTACAGTGTATGATCAAGATGGTTTCAAGGTCATGATCCATTTCTCCAGAGACCTAGCCCCCGGGCGACCAGATGTACTGGTGATGGTGCTCTCCATGCTCAGCACATCCACTCAGCCAATGAAGGACATTGTGTTCCAGGCCGCGGTCCCAAAGGTGAGAACGTGAGAGCGGGACCTGTGAAAATTATCCTGAATAAAAGCATTGTCGTTTCTGGCTTAGGGGTTTCCTCGAGCACTTGAAATAACAAAGTAGCCAAGTTGCTAGTTTCTGGTAATGTATTCATTAGATGCTTAATATGCATCCTGCCCCCTGCTTTGCAGGAGACCTGGCCTGGGTGCATTACTTAGCACTGAGGATAATAACCTCGTGAGGAAGCCCACATCCTGTCTTTGTACCTGTGCTCAATTAAAAGCCTTTAATTAAAATCCTACTGAAGGGGCATGCATTGGCTTAGAGCCTCTGCATGCCCCCCTCGCTGTACTGGGCCTTGGGGAAAGCCCAGGCATGTTAGACACCTGTGTGAACAGAGCCGTGTAACAGAGAATCCAGGGGTTTGACACACTGGGTCTGTGCTCAGTTTCACCAGGTTTATGCGTGTGCCAAACCCCTGGAGTCTCTACCTTTGTCCCCTGGCGCTCTCTGCATCGTACTGCCTCCCAGTGTCGCTGGGATGTCCCGGCCCTTGGACTCCTGTAGCTTTTTGCTCCTACGTACAGCCAGCTCCTTGCACTGACCACGCCCTCCAGAGACCACATGCAAGCCTCTGTCCTGAGCTTGTGGGCCAGTATCAGGCACCCAGGCACAGAACCAGGACACCCCTGCCTCCCGGGTTTGAAGGCGATAGTAGCAGCTTTCCTTCCTCTGGACACTGAGGGTGGTTTGCATTGTATGGATCCATTGCATGCTCCTCTCAGCACTTACTCTTCGCTCATGGGGCACTAGTCTTGTAGTGGATGACAAGCCATGTGGCTGGCATAGCCAGGACTGGCTCTGAGAGCTCCCAGCCCATCTCCAGTGGAGGTTAGAATGTGTCTTGTGTTCTCTCTCTCCTGGCAGGTTATGAGAGTAAAGTTGCAGCCAGCGTCTGGTTCTGAGCTTCCTGCCTTCAGCCCTTTGCTCCCTCCAGCCGTGATATCCCAGGTTCTGCTGCTCGCCAACCCACACAAAGTACGTGGCAGTGACTCTGCTAAGCGCTCACCTTGGACGTATGTATGGGGAACTGAGGCTAGGAGAGGCAGGGCCATCTGGGTTCTGCCAGCAAGGCAGCAGCATTGGGGAGCTCTCCTGGCAGCGCAGAGCGCTGAATCCTGTGAGAAATCGGTGATATCTGAAGCTGCAATGACAGTGGAGCTTTTTGTAGGGCAGTGGGGGGGATGAGCCAGGTGAGAGAGGAGAGACTCCAGCTGATGGGCTTGGTGATCTCAAGGTGCGGGCGGGAGAAGCAGGCTGTTGCGGGCTGCAGCTTGAACCCCTTCACTACCTTACCCTGCTGCAGCCTGTATGCAGTGGTGGCACCTGGTGGGATCCCTGGTGCTGACATGCCATGGGAACGCTGGTGGCTCTTCCTGCTGGAACGTGAGGCAACCCTAGATGAGTTCTTCATGCTGGCCAGGCCCTAGTGGGTGACTCTGCGGTTAATGGTTATGGGGTAGACTGTGGGTTCCTCAGCCATCTCAGCTGCCAGAGAGGGAATGTGGCCAGGCGCAGCTGTCCGGGAACTCCCTTGGGTGGCCTGTGGGACAGCTCCCTCCCCCCCATAGCATTACAACTGCTGTGTCCATTGCTTCAGCGTGTTGCCCTCCCCTTGCAGGACCCATCAGTCCCTTGGCATTACAGAGGTGGGGTGGAGGGGAGCAGACCACGTAACCTGCCTGTGTAACTTTCCTCTCTCCCCTGTCCAGGAGCCCATCCGATTGCGGTACAAGCTAATGTTCACGCAGGGCGGGCGGCCCTTCAGCGAAGTGGGGGAGGTGACTGGCTTCCCGGAGGCCGAGCTGTGGCGCGGGAGCTGAACTGCTGCTTTGATGGAACGTGGACATTGCCGCATCGCCTTAGCGCAGCCCTGTGGGGAGCCACCTGGGAGGGGCAGGGGGAGGCGCCCGGCCCCCAGAAAGCCGGGGTGGGCTCCATGCTGGCTGCTCTCCCCGGGGCCCAGTCTCCCACTCCTGCTCCGGTTTTCCTTGCGGGTACCTGGTAGGAGGGAGTGCAAACCAGCTGCTCCTGCTCTTTGCCTTACTGCAGCATTCATCCCTCCAGTGGCTGGATGCTCCTTTTCTACCAGCATTTCTGCTTTCTCCTGCTTGTTGAGCCATTTCGCCCTCTGGCCTCTTTGAAAACAATTCTCCGATTCAGGCCCTGTTTGCTCCCAGGGCGGAGCAGCTCTTGATGCTGGTGTCCGCAGTGTCTGGGGATCAGTGCTCTGACCTCGCAGTGATGGGTGTGGTGTGAGCACCTGGGAATAGAACGGAACGACTGTGGCTTGAAACAGGGCTGGATCCATAAGCCAAACCTGTTGGGTATTGCCACAGGCTCAGCACTGCAAGGGCCTGGGTCCTTGCCTCTTACCCTGGGATCCTCGGTGCCTTCTCAGCCTCACCGTGATTCCTGAGGCAGCCTCCACGCTGGGGAGCATCCTGCAGGGAGCTCTCGCAGGCAGGGCCCCCTGCAGCATGGGGGTTTGTGTCTATGCAAAGCTTAAGTTTCCTTCCTGGTCACTCAAAACTTAAAGGGAAAAATGTAGAAAGAATTTCACTGCTGCACAAGTGGAAACATGGATCAAGTACTAAGGCATCTGAGCTGCTCCACGGGGAGAGCTTGTCTGGAGAAATCATTTTGTACATCCGTGTCTAGATAAACCTTGGCTTAGGCCAGCTCTCCCCTTGTCCTCTGTGCCGGGAAGCAGAGGAGAAAGGACCCCCTGTGCTGTGATTAGTGGAACGTGCCCAGCCAGCCAGACCAGCGTCCTGTGCGTCAGGTTTTATGTGATGCTGAACTTGCACATTTTTTAATCAAAGTATTTTTGACTCCTGGTTGTCATTGTTGCTGCTGGTGACTGAAATGCCATAGCGTTAGTTATCCCCAGCTCGGTGGAGTTTGGCCACACAGGGGCGCTGTTTGAGCTTTTTATTACTGTACAGAGCACTGGATTTCCAGGTACAATCATAATAAACAGCATTTGCTTTGACAGGTGCTGCTTGCTGGTGGTTCCTGAGTTTGCATGCAAGGTCTCTCTGCCGCTCAGGAGAATGGCTGAGTGAGGGGGACGAGGGGCACTTGGGCTTTAGCCTCCTCATTTTATTCAAACATGTTCAATGGCACTTCACAGCCAGAGCAGAAGACAAGGCTCCTGCTGCAGAGATCATCTGCTGTAGCTAGGAACGGGCGGAGGAGAGAGAGCTGGAAGCAGACAGCAGATGTCTGGTTCATGACAGGATCTGTGTCTGAGCAGTGGTTGTCAGGTACGGAGCTTGTTAAGCCATCCCCAGGGGCTGGAAGGGCCTTCGAAGGAGAGGACATGCTCTCCCTGGCTCTGTGTAGCATATCCCTCCTGTCCTCTCTCTTGCCATCTCCCTCACGGCCCTGTGCCTCATCACACCCTGGCTCCTCCCCAAAGTAGCCTGGGGTCTGTCTCAGGTCTCACACCCAGCTCATCCCTGGGATATCCAAGCTCCTCCCCTCTGTGCCACTCCGCCCCACCACCTTGCAAGGCCCTCCCTTTTCGGAGGTCAGTGTTAATATTGTCACTGAAGTGCCCATCAAATCCCTGTGAAAGGTGCGGTTGTCCCAGAGCACTGGGTCAGGCCCTGCGCAGCCAACTTCTGGCCTGGCCAACAGCTTCAGGCTTCAGCCGCCACCTGCCTGGGTCTAGAAGGGATTCCTCCCCCCATATATTTTGGGTTGGTTGTGGGGTTTTGTCATCACCTTCCTCTGATGGCCACAGCTGGAGATGGGAGGTTGGACAGGGAGGGCTCCGAGGTGGCTCTGAGCATGCTCTCTCTCAGGTGCTGGGCTGGCTGGTTCTTGCTCACATGCTCAGGGTCTAACTGATCACCATGTGTAGGGGCAGGAAGGAATTCTACCTCCACCCCTGGTGAGATTGGCAGTGACCTTGGGGGGTTTCGCTTTCCTCTGCGACCTGGGGGTGTGGAATCACTTGCCAGGATTATCTGGGTCTATCTCAATCACTTCCCTGCCATTTGCAGGGACCTTGGGTCCAGGGGCCCCTGGGCCCCTCCTGCTCTCTGCCTGTGGCACATCATAGTCTCGTCCCTTGTGGGCTGTCATAGTTTGGTCTGACTTTGGTTGTTGGGTTGCGGATGGTGGGTGCTGCTGGTAGCCTGGGCTATGCAAGAGGTCTGACGGTATGATCTGGTTCCTTCTGGCCTGAAGAGCTATGCTCCTCCCCCAACTTACTAGCATGTTTTTCCACCTGACTCTTCCTCTGTCCCCAAATTCTTTAAGGCACAAGCACTTCACAACTCAACCCTTCCACCCCACCCCCATTAACCACGTTAGATAGCAGCGCCTAGTGCCTGTGACACTTTCCAATCATCCAGCTTAGCAAATGCCCGGTCTGAGCACGCCATCCCCACGGTAACTCCCCACCACTGGCCAAAGAACACGCTGTCAGCTGTTCCGATTTCCCTGAGTACGCATAGGGGTGAATCTCTCGCTGTTTGTGCCTCTCCCAGCCTCAGGATGCTTGCGGCTGCTCTTTGCCTTTTGTTTCTGGGCCATAGATGTTACTGCTCTTTACAGAGCAAATAACTCTGGGCAGGCGCCCAGCTAGGAGGAGAGGTCCCAGAACTTGGCACTTGGGCCAGTTACTGGGCATGGACTTGCAGTTGCAGTTTTTTTCTTTTGGTGCCATGATGGTGGGGAGGGGAAGCTGAGCCGCTGGAATTCAGAGCAGGACTCTGCCTCCTGCCTGTCTCTGTGCGGCTGGGCAGCCAGCGCTCAGCAATTGCTCTCATTGTCGCTGTTGAAGAGCAGTAACGGGCATGGAAGAAGAAGCCCAGTCTTGCAAAGTGAACTCCTGGGGAAATCCTGTGCCAAAAAATTAAATATTCTGAAAATAATAATAATTCTGTGCACAATATTTTAAAATTCTGCAAAATTCAGCATATTTTATGTGTCAAAATAACAATATAATCACACCAGTTTCAATTATTTGTGGTCATTTATTTCAAAATACCTGTCAGCGAGTATGTAACAATACAGACAACAAAACAAAACAAAAAGAGAGTCAGGAAATGTTTTTTTGACAAATAGATTCCTTACTAGGCATATTAATACAGAACTGAGTAATAAAACTGCACTACAGAACTGTATTTCCCGCACCCCTCAGAAGCAGCGTGAAGGTTTGGGGAAGTCAGGGGTAACGGAGGAGCTGAGGGAGAGGGAAGTAAATTGCTGGGAAGGACCCGGGGTGTGAACCTGGAGGGTTGTTGGTATGGGTGGGAAAAGTATGGAACAGGTTTTTGGGGGGGGCGGGGAGGGATTGTTAGGGAACTTTCCCCATGCAGACCCTGGCTGACCCCTAGCCTCTCCCATTCAGTCAGGCACATCTGCCCTGTCCCATGTATTACTGCACCCCCCTGTGTCCCTCCACCCCCACTCAGACACCCCCTCCCCCCCATCCCTATGTGGCCCTGTACCACTCCCCCATCCCCCTGTGTCCCACCCAGCCACTCCCTGTCCCTATGTAGCTCTGCACCCCTCCCCCATCACCATGTGGCCCTGCATCTCCCTCCCCCCGATGCCTCCACTCCCATTCAGCCCCTGCCCCAGTCTGTCCTCCCCCACTAGCCCGTATGAGCCCCTGTCTGACCCCTCCAGCACCACATGCTGTCTATCTCCCCATAGCCCGTCTCTTGACCTGGCCTGACTCCCAGGAAGGAGGCACCGCGTGCTGCCCCCCCCGCCCCCGTGCCCGCTGGCTCCGCCCCTATAGCTCCCATTGGCCATGGTTCCTGACCAATGGGAGCTGCGGAGCCGGGGCAGCGTGCTGAGCCGCCCTGGCTGCCCCTGCCCCTAGGGACAGCTCCCCGCCTTAGCCCCGGGCGGAACCTGGAGCCCGCCAACCCCAGCGGGGGCCGCCTGCTGGCGGAGACGCTTTGGGGCACCCGGCGGTTCCCCTGCCCGGCGGGGCGGCCCGACCCCCCCAGGCCAAGCCTCGCAGGAAGGCGCCACCGGCCCCTCGGCAGGAGCAGGGCGCGGACCCCGCTAGCCGGGCGGGCAGGGCCTGGAGCAGGACGAGGCCCGTGGCTCCGCCGGCGGCTTGGCTGGGCCGCTACGGTGGCCGGGCGGGGCCGATCGCCGAGCCGTCCTCGGGGCGGCTGGGTACGGTGGCCGGCTGGGACCAGCACCTGGCGTTTCCCGGCAACCTTTGCGCTCTATGTTGTTCATGACACAACCAACATGGCTGCCGCCGCCTGCGGGGACTGTGAGTCTGGGCGTCCCCTCCCCCAGAGCCGGCCTCCTGCCCCTCCCCCGGGGCCTTGCGTGGGCCGGGGGCGTCTGCCCCGGGTGGGGCCGGGCCTGCGTGATTCCAGCTGCCCCCTCCCGGGCCCAGGCGGTGCAGCGGGGGCTCGGGCTGGGAGGCCGGGCCCGGGGGGCGGGGAGGCCGGGGGCGGGCCGGGCGGCTGCGCTGCCCCCGGGCGCAGCGGGGGCTCGAGCTGGGAGAGGCCCCGCGGGGAGGCCGGGCCGGGCGGAGCGGGGCCTGGCGAGAAGAGGCGCCCCCCCCCCCCCCCCGGGTGGCGATCCGCCCCGCTTCCCCCCCCCCCCCCTTTAGGAGCCCGGCGCTGATCGGCGGCGGAGCGGCCCCGGCCCCGGGATGGATTTCTCCAAGTTCCTGGCCGATGACTTCGAGGTGAAGGGCTGGGTGAACGGAGCCTTCCGGGCCGTGCAGCAGCAGGAGGCGCCCGGCCAAGTGGACGCCCACGCCGCCACCTTGGTGATGAAGTTGCAGCTCTTCATCCAGGAGGTCAACAACGCCGTGGAAGGTGCCGCTGCGGTTCCTTGCGCTCGGGCCGGGTGGGGCGGGGGCAGCCAGGGCGGGTCCCCGCACCGGCCTTGCCAGCTTCCTCCTGGGGCGCTGCCAGCGACACCGCCCTGCTGAGGGGAACGCGTTGGGAATTTCCCCACCGTCTTTCTTTTCTTTTCTTTTAAGAACATTGATTCACGGAAACCAGAATTGCTTGTGAGAGGGGGTCAGTTTTGACCAATCTCCCGATTTGAAAATGGTCAATTTTTTTGTTGAAACATCCCATGTTGATATTTTGGAAACAAAGAGTTTTGTTTTTAATTTTGAAACAACTTTTCATTTTAAAATGTTAATTTATACTAAAAAAAATTTCTTAAAAAAAAACAAAACAAAAAAAATAAAAGGTTTAAAACAAATAAAAGGAAGTTCTTCCCACAGCGCACAGTCAACCTGTGGAACTCCTTGCCCGAGGAGGTTGTGAAGGCAGGGACTATAAGAGGGTTTAAAAGAACCTCCATGAATTTATCCAGTTCTAAGTTCATTAATGGCTACTAGCCAGAATGGGTAAGGAATGGTGTCCCTAGCCTCTGTTTGTCAGAGGGTGGAGATGGATGGCAGGAGAGAGATCACTGGATCATTACCTGTTAGGTTCACTCCCTCTGGGGCACCTGGCATTGGCCACTGTCAGTAGACAGGATACTGGGCTGGATGGACCTTTGGTCTGACCCGGTACAGCCGTTCTTATGTTCTTAAAAAAAAAAAAAAAGTCAATATTGAAATGAAATGTTTCAGTTGACCTGACCCCTTTTTGTGTGTTTTGGGTTTTTTTAGATCGGGGTAGGCAACCTATGGCATGCAAGCTGATTGTTCAGTGGCACTCACACTGCCTGGGTTCTGGCCACCGGTCTGGGGGATCTGCATTTTAATTTAATTTTAAATGGAGCTTCTTAAACATTTTAAAAACCTTATTTACTTTACATACAACAATAGTTTAGTTATATATTATAAACTTATATAAAAAGACCTTCTAAAAACGTTAAAATGTATTACTGGCACGCGAAACCTTAAATTAGAGTGAATAAATGAAGACTCGGCACACCACTTCTGAAAGGTTGCCAACCCCTGTTTTAGACTATTAGTTTGAGGATTTTGACTTTTTGTGCTGATTTGGAATAGGAAAAAAAATTGAAATTTTGAAAACTCTTGCAGGACGAGAGAATCTTTTCCCGCCCATGTCTGTCCTGACCTGTAGCATCTTCTGGTATTCCAGCCCAATTGTTCTTCCCTCTTCTGCCCTCCTACCAATCCCCCTGCCAGCACTGCTTTACATGCTTTGTCTTAGTATTATTTATATACGCTGATAGGCACTTACCAAACGCTCAGAGGATTGTCCCTAATATGCAACATGCCCTGCTATTCCAGATCTGGAAGATCTTTTTAAACATACAGTAGAACCTCAGAGTTACGAACTGACCAGTCCACCACACGTCTCATTTGCAACTAAAAGTACACAATCAGGCAGCAGCAGAGACACACCCCTCCCCCCCCCAAAAAAAAAACCCAACCAAAAAGCAAGAGCCAGTACAGTACTGTGTTAAATGTAAACTGCTAAAAAAGAAGAGAGCAGCTTTTTTCTTCTGCATAGTAAAGTTTGAAAGCTGTCTTAAGTCAATGTTCAGTTGTAAACTTTTGAAAGAACAACCATAACGCTTTGTTCCGAGTTATGAACATTTCAGAGTTACGAACAGCCTCCATTCCCAAGATGTTTGTAACTCTGAGATTCTGCTGTAGCTTGAATGCAGCAATGAAGATTTGTTGTACACCATGCTCCTTGGGAAGTTTGTTCTGTGTGAGGGTTGAGTCCCTTGTCATTCCATTGCTGTTTGTTTCTGCAGAAACAAGCCACCAGGCGCTCCAGAACATGCCCAGAGTCCTTCGGGATGTGGAAGCCTTGAAACAGGAGGCAACTTTCCTGAAGGAACAAATGATCCTTGTTAAGGAGGACATTAAGAAATTTGAAGAGGACACAGCTCAGTCAATGCAGGTAACTTCTCTCCTCACTAAATATTTGCCTGTGATTTCCAGATTTGCTGTAGCTGCCAAAGTTACTGAAGGTGCCACAAGTACTCCTGTTCTTTTTGAAGACTCTGTTTTCGTTTGTGCAATTCCGGGGGGCTCTGTTAGCTCTCTGCAGCAGTTTGAGCTCTGGTAGATGCTGACAAGTAAGGGAGACTGATTTCCTGCTCTGATATTGTGTCCTTTTTAAATTGCCACTGTCATCCTGTTGCACTTCAGCAAGTTCTGAGGCTATGAGATCCTAGATGCAAGGAATCTCTATGCTTTTTTCAAGCAGAACAGTCACTAAAAACTCCTACAATCTGGTAGCTTCTCTGAACTACAGTCTGATTGTACTAGGCTTCAGCAATTTGATACCCTGTCGGCTGCTTCAGATTTTTCGTACTTTTGTGAAGAAGTAAAAAAGTTCTGGAGATATTGACTTGTTGTGAATGAATGATAGTGCTTATTAAATTTGAAGAACTAATAGAAGTGTCTAGAGCGGGACATAGCATGGGCAGACACAATGCAAATGTCCCTACAGATTGTGCCTTGGTTCTGGGCTGCAGCACCCCTGATATTCGAGTCCAAAGCCTCTCTTAAGCAGAGAGTGATGCCGTATGGTGGTTTTGTGTGTGGACAGATGGGAGACTAGGTTGACATCCCCAAAAGCATTTTCCTTGTTAACTCAGCCATGCACTGTGTACTCAGAAGTGAAAAGCTAATGCAGTACCCCACCTTACCACCAAGACATAAATGTTCGCAACCCAGACTAGAACTAGCTCTGATCAGACCTTCATGAGCTTATAACTCTCCTCATGTGAGTGATCCATCTTTCATGACAGGCAGCAAGCTGCGGAAGCCTTTATTGTCTGAGCTTATTGGTGGTGGTGTTGTATTAATACCATGCTATAGAGTTGCTTTGCATTTTTTCCAGACAAAATGGACGCTGATTATATTGAATCCCAAATTCAAACCAGTTTATAGGTGTGTTTGTTTTCTTGTGATGATTCAGGAGTGAGCTGCTCAAGCAGAGGGGCTGATGGTTTACCCACAGTACTGCAGATCTTTGGTGAACTGTTTTGCACGTTGTTTCTGCAGTTTTAGCTGCCATCAGAGCCCAGCCCCCTTCCCCTTGGATCACATATCCATATTATTGTTTAGAGTTGGGTGTAGACCCTGAATAAAAGCAACATTCCTCATTATGTTCTCAAATCTCTACTGATGATGCTTATCAGCTGGTTCAATTTTAAAATTGATTTTAATATCGTCAGCTCCTTGGAGAGATGATCCACTTCTGTGTAAATCCCTAAAACTGATTTTAGCCAACTTCCTCCTGAAATTGCTATCACCCAGTTTCTTAAACCCAAATATAACAGAAATAACCTTCTCCCCCCCACCCCACCTTACTCCCCACCAAATCAAGCAGCTTCCACATTTGTCCCCAATTCTGATGGGCAGCAGTTCCATCTCTGTTTCAGGTCCTGGTAGAGCTTGATCGAGTGAAATCCAGAATGCAGCTGGCTGCAGAGTCCCTCCAGGAAGCAGACAAGTGGAGCACACTGAGTGCAGATATTGAGGAAACTTTTAAAACACAAGTAGGTACCTGCTTGAAAAAGACAAAGGCATGAAAATTGTCAATCATAAAGAAACCAAATTTTAAAAAAAGTCCTTTCAGGTCACCTTTCAAATGGAAATATGCCTCTGCTTCCCAGATGTCACTGTGGAACTTAGGACTTGGCATTTTTGATATTGTGTTAACAACCCCCTAACTTCCTTTGGTGGCAGGATGTGTCTGTGATCTCTGCCAAGCTAACAGGCATGCAGAACAGCCTGGCGATGCTTGTGGACACTCCGGACTACTCTGAGAAATGCGTGCACCTAGAGGCTCTGAAGAACCGGCTAGAGGCCATGGCCAGCCCCCAGATTGTGGCCACTTTCAACGCTCAGTCTGTAGGTCAGTACGGCTCTGTTTCCCTTGTCTTCAGCGTAGATGTATTTATATGTAGGTGTTGCCTTCATCAGGAGAGTGAGTCATGGTGTTCTCAACAGCATGCTTCCAGCCCCCCGGCTGCTGTTTGGTGCTCCTTCTGCCAAGCCTTGTACACCTCCCACCATCTCCTATTCAATTTGTCCTTTCTTCATTTCTGTCTGTTTGTTTGTTTGTTTTGGGGTTTGCTCAGCAAGCTAAATGCTGCCTGGGTTGGGAGTGGATCCATTGGGTCTCTTTGGGGCTGGGTTACGTGCCCTTTCTTGGTCGAACCAAACGAAAAGAGATGCATGGGACAGCAGCCTGCAGCCCAGTACCTGTTGGATTCTCCCATAGTCTGCAGCCTTCTTTCCACCCCTGGATGCGATCCAGGTTGGGAAATGTTTCTTGAGTGTGTTTAAGATCCCTGTAGCTGCTATATCAAAGAGCTGCTGAGCGTATGTAGCGTAGCTTGATATTGTAATCAATGGATAAATTCATTGGGAAATGCTATGACTCTTTATTGCCTTGTAAAAGGTGCATTCGAAACAAGGGAGAAAGTTATAAAATGGTTTGGGTTTTTTGGTCTGGCCTTGCTCCCTTTCCCCACCCTTACACTGTCAGTTTCTTATTTGTGTTTCAGTGGCACCTAGAGCAGAGGTTCTCAAACTTTTGTACTGGTGACCCCTTTCACATAGCAAGTCTCTGAGTGTGACACTCCCCCCCCACCCCACCCCTAAATTAAAAACACTTTTAAATATATTTAACACCGTTATAAATGCTGGCGGCAAAGCGGGGTTTGGGGTGGAGGCTGACAGCTCACGACCCCCCATGTAATAACCTCGCGACCCCCTGAGGGATCCTGACCCCCAGTTTGAGAACCCCTGACCTAGAGGCCTCCATAATGATCATGCTATTGTGCTGCACAAACACAGACTGAGACAGTCCATGCCCCAATGAGCTTATTTTCTACTTGAAGACAAAATGCAGAGTGAGACAAGCAGAGGAAGGAAGGAAAAGGTTAATATGAAGGGTTTATGTGCTTGTGTTCTTTCACACTCTTCCTCCTTTACTCCTCTCTTCTTTGGTTTTCTCTTCCCATTTCCCGTCACACTCTCTTTCTGGTCTTCCAGTCCATCACACTGGCTCTGTTTCCTTAGGTTTTGCACCCATCTGTCTCAGTATATGTGTCTGTCTTGTTGCTGCTCTTGGGCTGTATGGCCCTTTTGCAGGCAGATGCAGGACACACAGTGATGTTTGAGAATGTTTTCTCCCACCTACAAGGAGAGAGCCTCATAGAAGCTGCATGATATTAATGTGTCCCATATGAGTTCTTTAGATATGCCATGTAGCTGTGGTAGGAAACTGACAGCAGGTGGCGCTTCTGTATTGGAAATGGGTCCATTGCTTGGCTTAGTTATTCAAGAAGTTCTGGCTCACTTTGAGATAAATGCAGCCCTGAGTCTATTACCCTTTTAATATTTCCTCCGGAGCAGCTGGCAAACATACTTTTCCTTTCTGTTGATAGTATTTCACATGTTCTTCTGAGTTCTTCAAGAGGTCTTTCTTAGATCTGACGCTGTAGATAGGAACACAGGACAACAAATGTGTCCTTTGGGGCGGGAGGAGGTGCTGTTCTCTCCTTTGTACTGCTCTAGAGCAACCCTAGTTACTTGCTGTGTGTCAGATTTACAGGAAGCCACCTGGGCCCTGCCAGCAAACCAGAAACAAGTTCCTAAATACGTCATTACTAACATCTCTGAACCCAAGTGTGTTTTGTAGACAAAGCCGTCCCCACTGTTCCAGTAATGCAAAGGGAGCAGGGAGACTTTCAGGCTTTGAGTAAATGGTAGCTGGGTCATTTAGTCAAGGTGAAGAGACAGCTAGTTGTGGTCCTAGCACCTGGGGGTGAGGAAGGCAAAACTGAGGAGTGCAGTTCGGTTCTACTGACATGTGCTCTGGTCTGGAGGGCACTAGCTCTGTCTGAAAAAAGCATCTAGTCTTTTTGGGACTCAGTACTGTTACAGGGGGGTCTGGAGTTAGAAATGTTTTCCCAAGGGAAGTTAAAAACTCTTCCATCATCACTTTACTCTACCCTCTCTGGAATTTCTGTGGCTATGGATTCAGAGGCAGCTGCCCCAGGTGAAGGGAAAGGAACACAGGGAGGCCTTGTCACTTTCTTCACGTATTGTGGTGCTACATCCCACACACTGTATCCAGGCTCTTCTCCAAACTGAAGAGGGTGGATTTTCCTGCTTAGTCCAGAAGACTTGTTTTGCTCAGGGCAGTACCTCTGTCACACAAGTTAGGAGGGTGACCTGTTAACTAATGTTCTGTGTTGTTGTATTTAGACCAGGCAAAAGTGTTTGTGAAAGTCTTCACTGAAATTGATCGGATGCCCCAACTCCTGGCTTATTACTACAAATGTCACAAGGTATCTAGTCTCTGTCATGGTCACATTTTAATTTGGGGGAGTGAAATGTGGAGTAGTTCCTTGGTTTAGCCTGTAGGGGGGGCTGCCACTCTGGTCATCTCACTTGTCCAATTTAAACTGAGGATGATGCCTGTTCTCTTCCACATTTCATCCACCTGAATCTTTTCCTGGCTGTGATTACTCCACACAAGGGGGTTTGGGGAATAACTCTCCAAAGGAGTTTTCTTGTGCCTTCCTACAGCAGCTAGTAGGCCAAATGAAAAATGTACTTGTGCATCCCTCTGTGCCCTGAGAAGGTGTTTGGTTGTTGCTTTTTCCTTCTTTTATGATTTCTGGTTGTTATAAACTTTATTGTAATTTGCTGCTGCTGAATTATGGAAACTCTCTTCAGATGGGATTGGAATTCTGGATGGTTCATTGACCTTAACCTGATCCTCCAAAGCCCTATTATCAATGGGCCTTGTGAGGATTAGCTTCAGGGCTGGGGCCTGCCAAATATTTCAACTGTTATGGGGTGGTATTGGTTTCAGTCTCATTTATGAGCAAAATACCAAGGTTAATTAAATCTTTGGATAAGCCAAGAAGCCTTTAGCTTCACGTTTTAAAGTCTGAGTCCTCTTGGGTGCTGAATGATCGCAGGGTGGTGTGTTCAAATCTGAGGGGTGTTGCCTTTGAGGAAAAGCAGTTTCCCTAGGACATGTCTCTGTTTGAGTTAACAAGGGCCAGTTCTGTAGCGTGAGTGACTTTTATTACCCCTGCAGGTGCAGCTGGTGACAGTCTGGCAGGATCTTTGCCAAAGCGACTTAAGTTTAAATCGGCAGCTGACTGAACTGTATGATACTCTGCTTGGAACATGGCACTCACAACTCCAGTGGGTCATGCAGGTACTGTTACTATCAGTTAACCACATCAGTGCAATGCGTGGGAACGCAGACTGCAAATTCCCATAAGGCTGAGAATAACTGATCAGCTCACAGACTCATTTTGTGCCTCTTCACTAAAGTCTTGGAGCTTGCTTTGAGGAGCTAACTCCTCTGCTGCCACAGAAAGATTAACTGTTTGACTCAAGACCAGTGGCGGTATCTCTGCAGTGCTGCTGTTAAAGCTGCTCTATCTCTTTCATCTGTATCGTACATGAAATCTAATTGGTCAGTGTTGCATTTTGTTCTGTTGCAAAACATTTGAAATACCTGAATTTCAATATCACCTGACCTAGAGGAGGCCCTGGAGGGATTGCTTGACTGATTTGTGGTGGTTTGTGTGTGACTTCTGGGGGAAATCCTGCTGGAACCCCTCAGGATTGTGCAGTACCAAGAAAAGCATTTGAATTTGTAAATGCAGAGTTTACCATACTTACACCTGACCCCAAAAGGAGTTTGCCTCTCTTCATTTAGCCTAACAAATTGTGTTGGACATTGTTGAGTCTGTCAGCGTTTTCACCCGTGAAGGGTAAGGGAGATCGTTATCTTATGGGTATGAAGCCTGTAACATGGGCTGAGGCCTTTCCTGCAAGGATACCCAGCCTTACCTTGAAATAATGTCTTGGGATTTTTTCCTGCATAACAATTAGTTGTGAATCACAGTTCAGATGCTGGCTTATTCACTAGCATGTGCTCTAGGACCGGGGTATTGTGAGGGGCCTTGCCATGTGGGCCAAAGCTCATGTCACCCAGGGCTTTTCTCCCTAGTGCTCCTGCACTGCCTGTGTTAGGAAAACCATTTTTTCTTTCCTGTTCTACTTGCTGTTCATGGTTTTACTGCTGCAAGTTGGATACTGGGGGGTATATGTTCTGGTACTGCAGTGGTGGGGGCTGTATAAATACCTAGAGAGAATAGCTGACCAGTCAGTCAAAAGTGGCGATGATAAAAGCTACCGCAAACAAAGATGAGGGTGATGGATATGAATGTGAAGCTAGCCTTATGCTGATCTAAGGATAACATTTGCCAGCTGGTTACATTCTCGCTGGGGCTAGAATGTAGTGCTTCCCAACTCTCTCCTCGGTCCATCCTGACCAGTCACCTAGCTGCTTATTCATGGGATTCTTTATCCCTTTCCTCATGCCTTTCAAAGGTACCTGTTTAAATTCTGTTTGAAGACACAGCATGCTCTCTACCGTGTTACTCTACTCTGTTGCCCATTATTTGCCTGTCCTCCTTTGGATCCAGCCTCTGCTCAACCTCATAGATTCTCTGCTGCCTTAGATAAAGCGCTCTCCTTGTCTGGGCTCTTTAAGTGACAATGATTAACTCTGCTTTCATACCATTTAGTCAGCCTCTCCTGCATGCTGAATCAGCAAGGTTCCGGAAATCTTACCTGGCCCTGCTTTTAGTCTGGTAACATTTGTGAGTTTTCAGATGCGCTCCCATTACTGTTAGTTGGAATTGCACATGCCCAGAGAGGATCCAATGATCTGGCAGTTTCCGGAGTGCAGTGTTCTTGATGTGCCACACAATTGCCTGTTAATGAACATAATTTAAATTTCATCTTTGGGGCAGTTTAGTCTCTTCTGCTCTGTGAATTGTTTCTGGGGGCTTCTGCATGGCTTCTGTTGACTAGGTCGTTGTGCTGGTGTCCTTGCTAAAGTGGTGGAGTGTGGGGCTCCTCCTGTTCTGGGGCTCAGTTTACACAGAAGCAGTGGGCTGCTTCTGCTGACATGCTCATGCTAACAGCTTTCTTGTTCGTGCAGGTTTTTAAGAACCCCCATGAAATTGTGACTGTGCTGCTGATCCAAACATTAGGTGCCTTGGTGCCTTCAATCCCAGTCTGCCTCCGCACCGCAATGGAGGGAGCCAGCCAGGAAACCAAACTAAATACGCTGCTGGAGCTGCACGACACCACAGCCCACTTTGCAAGAGGCTTGGAAGTAGCAGTGCTGTCTAACTTAAGTAGGGACGGTTATTTCAGATATTCCCAGACTTCATGGTGTATTTTTGTGTCACCCTCTGTACAGCCTTTGGGTTCTGTGTCTTGTTTCTCATGTAAGGGATTTGGATTTCACCCGCAGTGTTTGCTGTTTACATAAGGTTTGTACTGAAATATATATTTAACTTATCCCAAATATATTGACACAATCCTGGCTGTGTTTACTGAACCAGAGCTATTTTGATACTACCTTGCTACCTTGTGTAAATAATACTTAGCACTTTCCTTTTACAACATTTGTGTGGGTGAATTACAACATCCCTATAAGGCGGATCAGTTTTATCCCTGTCTGAGAACTGGAGAAATGGACTCAGAAGATACTTGACTTGTCTGAGATCACATGGCAGTAAAAGCTCAGGAGTTCTTGGTTTAGACCGCACCTCTCTTAACAAGTTCTCCTGATCATTTGCTTTCTCAAACTCTGCAAGGGAAAGTTTGCCAAAATGGTTTTCACTGGAATTTAAAAAAATGGTGGAAACCGTTCTGTTGGTCTTAAGTTTTATGAAAACCATGTTTTAACCAAATTAAACTGCTGGGTCAAATTTTATTATTTCTGACGTGTGCTTTTGTTTAGTGCCTAAAAGTGTGCTGTTCAGAACAAAGTAAAGACCCTCTCCCTGCCCTAAAGCATTTGCAGTTTAATTTTAGACAGAAATCCATGAGTGGTTGATGCAAACCATTGAAGGTAAGGGAGGAAGGAAGGTGAGTTAACAGCAATGAGACCATATGATTATATAGGCTCAGCACAGTTTTAATTTATGAACGTTTATAGGTGTATCTTAATTTGGCACAGTGTTCCTTCAAAGAGAGTGTTCAGGGAATTCGCATGTGAAGGTTGATGGGTTATCTTTAACGCTGCATTTTCTGCCTGTGTTTCCTTTGCATCATACTCCTCAGTTATTTAAACCCAGTTTTAGTAGATTACATTTAACTGCTGTGCCATTCCAGGAAATGTGACTATTGTTCTGTGCTTGTGTTCTACTTTTCATTGGAAGTCATTGTGCACTCTTAGCAAACACTTGCTACACACTGGTCTGGCTTAATTGGGGTAGGTAACAAATACCATAGACACTCTATAGAAGGGATTTGGAGAGAAGAAGCCTAAGTCTGTAAGATAAGAGACTAGGAAACCAGTTACTGAACTGTTGAGAGTAAAAGTTGCATTCTTTATTTGCATATTACCCTGCAACAAGGTGGCATGCTCTAAAAGCGACACACACAAGCAGAAGCATCACAGGAATGGGGGAGCTGGGTGACTAAGCAGATTGGCAGTGGGGCATTGGGTCAACTGGTTCACTTTCAGACCAGGTCGGGAGTGACTGTGGCTGTGTAGTAGTCTACATGAAATGAGTTGGCATCGTTTATTTTAGGTATGGATGAAGACTGTGTAGTTTCCTCTTAGAATCTTTGATGGGACATAAAATGAGACTATGCCCTCTGTAGGCGGGCCCAGTTCAGACAGATTCTTTGCTTCATCTCTGATTGTGCAGGCTGGGATGGGTGATAGCTGGCTGGAAATCTTGTGGCCCCAGATTGTTCTTGAGCAGCCAGGAATATGGCTTAATAATTTCCTGCTGTGCTTGTTGAAATAGAATCCCTGGGTTTTAAGGAGCCGATCGTGATGATATTCCCATTTGTTTAAAAAGTCTGCAGCTCAGCTTTCAAGCTGCTAGGCAAAGTCCCAAGGTGTATGCGCACGTGGGAGTGGCCGTCAATAGGCACAACTCATTGAAAGAGCCTAACCTGCTGCTTTAAGGCCACCTTTTAGCAGTTTGTTTATTTCTTTGTACACTCACTTCTGATTCCTTGTAGAAGAGCATAACCTGGTGAAAGTGATGGAACTGGTGGAAGTAGTGTATGGTCCGTATAAGCCCTACCAGCTGCGGTACGGAGACCTGGAAGAAGAAAATCTCCTCATCCAGATCAGTGCAGTGCCCTTGGTAATGTAATGTATTCTGCTCCATCTGTACAGTAGTAGTCAGCAGGTAATTGGAGGCTGATATTTATGAGTAGTTTAAAGGATCTTTGTTAGGGTGGTTGGACCCTAGATTTTGGCTAGCATTTTCCATTTGCAATTTCCTTTGATACTTTTCTTTTAATTAAATATTGCTTTTTTCACCTAAGTTATAAAATTAATTCCAGCAGCTTTGTCTGCTCCTGGGCAGTCCCCCAGTAACTGGTGCTTCATGCATCTGGTGTAGGGGAAACCTTGCAGATAAGCAGACAACTTCTTGGACGCTTAAGCAGACTATTAGAAGCAAGGAAGAAAACCTCTGAGTTTGCCTTTTGTCTTTTAACCTTTTACATATGTGACCTTCAGTGAGGATGAGTGGAGGTGGGGTATTGTGTTAGGCGCTGTACAAACTAGAAGATAGTCCCTGCCCCAAATTCTTACGCTGCAAGTGGATATACCAAACCACTGCAGGGAGGATGGCATAACCATGACAAATGGTTACATAGACTAGCTATGTGCATTCCTGCCTCCTCTGTTGCTTTCTTACCATAGACTGAGTGGGTGGGAGAGGGAATCTCCTGTAGCAGTGTTTCTCAACCTGGGGGTTGCAAGTGCTGGGCCGACGTTAGGAGGTGGCAAGCAGGGCAGTTGCTGGGAGCCCTGTGCCACAGAGGGCCCTGCAAAGCTAAGTTACGTGCTTCAGCCCAGGGCGGCGGGGCTCAGACTCCAGCTTAGGAGGGGGCGCACCATTTTTTTTTTTTTTATTTTTTAAAGCCCAAAGGGAAAAAAAAAAAAAAAAAAAAAAAAGGTTGAGAAACACTGTCCTATGGGAAGGTTAGGTCAGTGTGTTTTGTCTGGAGGCAGTGATGAGAATAGGAGAGGGCAATCTGACTTTTATGTGCTGTCACGGTGTAGGAGGATGAAAACAAAGGAGACTGTTAACCCTCAGTGCACTCCAGGAGACAATTAAACGTTGACGGGAAGGTTTGCCTGTTGGGTTAAACTTCCTCCTTCCCCATCTGGGTGTTACAGCAACTACAGTGTTAGCTACAGAATGACCTGGTACAATGTGGTTACTGCAGGGACACTTGTTGAAGGAGGGTTGGGATCAACCAGTGTATTTTTTGTTCTCCAGGAGCATTGGGAAGTAATTGACTGCGTCCAGGAACTGAGCCACTCGGTGAACAAACTCTTCAGTCTGGCTTCTGGAGCCATCGACAACTGCGTTAAACTCACCGATGGGCTGGCGGTGTGTGGGCTGCTGAAGGCACTGAAAGCTCTTTTCAAAAAGTAAAGCATTTTCTGTCTTTCTAATACACTTATCCCTGGCGAGTGAGCGAGTGTTCAACAGGTGGCTCTGAATGCAATGGGGGGGGAGCCTGAGGACTTTGTGGTTTGTGATATTGGCATATTTCTATAGACACAGCTGGTGTTGAGCATAATCCCTTCCCTTGTGATCTGCCACTCAGCTCAGCCAATAAAGATCCCTTGACTTGTTGCTTTTCATGAAAAGGGGAAGTTTAACATGACTGGAGGTAAAGCTCCTCATGCCTGAATTTTCATTGACGAAGTGCCTAAATGCACTTCTGGGAAAGAACCACTTCTGAGAGGACCTAATAGAAGAGAGGCATGGTAGGCTGGTGAGCATAAACCTCAGTGGGGAAACGTGTACTTTAAAGTGCACAAGTGACCTTCCACTTACAGTATTTGCTGCATAACTTCCCTGTAGAATGAGTGGCACTAATTAAAGGCAATGTATTTTTTCCTATTAAATCTATTACATACTCCCATTTAAGAGAGCATTCCAGTACTGATTTCCCCTACTTATCCTTTTTTCCCTGGGCCAAGGCAGCTGCTAACCTTGCATAAACTAAGCCTTGGCATCAGTGCATTATTGGTTCTGTGGGGAGAGCCCTATTCTGTGAGTAGGTGAAAGCAGAGCACTGCTCTTTGATGAGGGAACGAGAGATCTGCGAGCAGCAGTAGCCTCTGACTTTGGCTCATCTGTTCTAGAAGAGAGCAGTAATGCTCGTGACACTGGAAGTGCTCTGCTCATACCAGCTTGGTAACCGTGGCTTCCAGTCACTTAGATGCAAAGCAGTATTACTACTTCAGCTATTCTGACTGGTGCTCTACCCTACCCCCTTGTCCTCCGGGTTGGGCCTGGACCTGCCACTGCTGGCCACCTCTAGCCTGCAAATGTTGGGACTTGGGCTGGAGCAAGGAATACTTCCTTTGTGCTCCTCTTCTTGTTCAAGTGCCTCTGGCTCTTTGCCTGAGACGAAGCGAATTGCTCTTAGCAAGTGCCACTGCTGTAGTCTGAGGTCTTATTCCATTGTCTGTCTCTGCTCCATCTCTTTACACAGGTATGTGTCTGACTTCACTACTACTTTGCAGTCCATAAGAAAGAAGTGCAAACTGGATGATATCCCCTCGGATTCCCTCTTCCAGGAGGACTGGACTGCATTCCAAAACTCTATCCGGTAACGTGACCGTGTGAGCCGGGCTCTTGAGAAATGGTGCCTGGTATTTGGTCCCGAGGGCGAGCTGGTTTTTAGGTGAAAATGGAAGGGGGGGAGGTCATTGTTATTGTCTTCGGCCTGGGGATTTTAGCTCCTTTTTTCTCTATTGCTTGAGACTCCCTTGTGGGGGGGTGCAGCATCCCCTCTCCCTTTCGCCTTTTTTTTTTTTTTTTTTTTTTGGCTAATTCTGAGTCTCTTCGCCCACCTGTACTCTGTCAGTTTTGAGTAGAGCTGAAATTAACTAATGGATTTCTTTGTGGCAACAATTGAATGAAAGCTCTCTGACATCTTCTCTTGCAAACAAGCCTGCGTGGTAGTGTTGTCGCTACTGTGGAAAACAGTGTTTCTAATTTGACTGCTGCTTCAGAGCCAGGCTGCTTGGGGAGGAGGGAAGGCAGGACACTCTATGGTGATAGTGGCTGCAAAACTAGAGGGATTTTTGTTCTTAATTTTTAAAAACATCTCCTTAGTGGGATGGAGAAGTGATAATTTCTGAAAACCCTAACAAACGCCAAGGCAGTTGGAACCCTGGAGCCTTTGTCCCTCAGGCTGTAACCATCTGAATGCTTAAGAAAGGGACACTCCATAATCTAATATGATCTACTTTAAAGTTGGTTTGATATCAGACAAATGTGGCTCTGATGGGCCCTGCTAGTTCAGTTTCTCATAGGGCTATGTCTACATGGCATCTAAATCAGTGGAAGTGTTCGTGGAGATTGAGCGTTAGGTATCTGTTGGCATTTTAAGCACCGTGTTGACTAATTCTGCTCAGAGCAGGACACATCACTTAAAATACCAGCGGCCACTAGGGCTCCCACCATTGGAGCTGAGCTGGTGTTAGCCATGGTGGGAATAGTGCATACCTGGCTACAGTGCGACATCAACAGGAGAGAGTGAAGGTATGAGCATCAAGTTAACTGCCAAGCTGAAATAGTGATTCTTACCATGGGGAGAGCTCCCGCTAATCACCCAGTGATGAACTTTATTCCCAGAGACTTGCATACTAAGACTAGATGGTGTGAGGGAGAGTCTGGGAACCTTTGTGCTGCCTACCCCAGGTTCACAGTGTGGTGTGTTTTGTTCTGTTCCCTCCCAGGATAATAGCTACTTGTGGTGAACTCCTTCGGCAGTGCGGGGACTTTGAGCAGCAGCTAGCAAACAGGTAGGAAATGCTGGGGTTAGCGTGCAAGCCGTATGCGTGTCTATCCAGTTAAAAGGAACCAAACCCCAAGGTGCTCCGTCTGTATGGAGGCTACAGAAGGAACGCAAGAGCCAATGAACTTTGATAATGGCTGTGAAAAAGTAGTGACTTTGTGTACGCAGCCTGTCCACCTAGGTGTCCCTGGTCAAGACCCAAATGTGTAATGGCCTATAAAATGGAGGGGGGGGGAATAAGGGAGGCAATAGCTTGAAACGTTATGGGGTTATAAAATGAAGCTGGGCTTTCTACTGAGGGATGGTTAGAGATAGAGATAAGAGCATGCACTGGCAGAGTGAGACAGCGTAGATGCTATGCTATGTGGAATTGAGGTTCCTGGGAAGGCAGGAAATGCAGCCAGTAAAGTTTCCTCCTGCTGCTGTTGGGAAGTTCTGATGAGCAGCTTATTGACAAAGCCCCATGCAGCCCGTCTCTCTTATCGGGAGCCATCTTAGTGACTTCCAGGAGATTCAGGAGCTAGGTAAATAATCAGGCCAGACAAAAGGAGCATGCCCTGTAGTGCTGAGGCGTCTGCTTTTCCATCGAGGAGTCTGTAAATCACCAGCTAATGGGAACTTAATTTGCAGTGTACAAAGAGTGGCGTTTGGGGGTGACTGGGAGAGCAGGTAAGGGGACATTTTACAGAGGATGCCCCAACTCTTAACCCCTTAAACCTAGGACCGGTTTTGTGGTTGGGTTGTCTCCCATCCTGATTTTGGGGGTGAGATTCTGGCATGCTGCAAGCTTATTATTAGAGTCCCTACAGATATCTGTAGCTGCAGTGTGTCCTCACATTGCCACATGGGAGCAAGTTTCTGCTGCAGATAGATCTGTGGAATGGCCACCTTATGTCTTAGAGATGTTCCTTTGGCCCTGGAGGGCTCCCTCTGGGACTTATGCTCTAAGATTGGCTGCTGGGGTGAGGTGGAGGTCACCACAGAGCAACACATGGCACCATTTCTGCAAACTGTGGTAGGGAGGGTGTGAAACATGATAGGGCAGAGTGGACTAACCACAGGGCCCGGTAGAGGCTGCTTAACTTGTTTGTCAAAGTTAAAAAAAAACATGTGGAGGGCAGGGGGCCTGTTAGCTTTCTCTGCTTTATTTCTCAAGCTGGAGCCTTGTGTGTCAGTAAAGCTGGTGATGCTGAGATGGGGCCTCCTAGAAGGGATGGGGGAGATTCCAGGCAGGGCAGGGGCCATGGGGGAAGCTCAGGAATTCTCTTGGAGCAACCCAGTGCCAACTTCAGTGGAGTTTGCTTGTAACTTTTAGTCATGTTGGTTGGTTTCAGGATTTTATCCACTGCTGGGAAGTATCTGTTGGACTCCTACAGCCCTTGTAGTCTGTCTGGCTTTCAGGATGCCAGCTCTGCGGAGAAGAAGAGCTCAGTCAAGAACCCCTGGCAGGAATACAACTACCTCCTGAAGGAGACTCCGTCTGAGTATGCCAGCCTCATGGAAACACTCCATACCCTAAAGGTAGGACTGCAGTGCTGCCCAGGACACATCTGGCAGTTGGGGCCACTGCCTGGTCACATGCCTCCATAACAGCAGCCTGTTGATTGGGAAGGGCGTTCCAAGTTCTCCTGACACACCCAGTCCCAACAGAATGAAATGTCCAGAGCTGTGAGGCTCTGGGCTCACTCCCTCTCTCTGAAGCACAGAGCTCTGGTTGTGTGCAGTTCAGATGAGATATCCCAAGGCAAGAGGCAATGGAAAGTTTGTATTTGAGGGCCACCTTGAGCTCCAAGTCTGGTCATTGTCTTTCCAAGACTTTCTCAGCAGGTTACACTCTGCTGGTGTACCCATCCTGAACTGTAATTCTGCATGTGCATTCATGCGTGCATCTGTGAACAGGGTAAAGCAGCCCCACTTATCTTCAGTACTGATCTAATTTATGTATGTTTGCCTTCATTAGATCGTTTGTAATAATAAAGCTAAGTTATTTGTTCTGTCTTCCTTATTTTCCCAGGGTGTTCTGAATTTTTTGGTACTTAAATTACATATAACTCATGCATCGCTACCCTCAATATTACGCATTTGACTTGTGTAGAAATAACATAGTCACCTCTCTGTATTCAGCCTTCTCTGTACCAGCTTTTTGTGCAAAGCTTTTCCTTGATTCCGCACAGCAGACCAGTTGCTTGTGCCCTTTGACCATGGTCATCTAAAGGTCATGTTTGTATTCCTCCTCCTTATTTCTGTAACTTCATAATAGCTTTAGTGAGCAAATGGATTATATTATCTAAGTTTTCTTTTAGTGATTGCCTGGCAGAGTGCAATAAAATCTCTGTGCTGTTGCCAGCCCCTCCTGCAAATGGGCAACGGAGTTATACGGAACCAGGGAAAATCTTTTGGTTGGATTGTGACTATTAAGCTTTGGTTTGTACTGCCTGGGGTGTGGAGAGGGCGTGCTGCTAGGACTCAGCCACAGTTTCTTGTGGGGAGTGCATACTGCAGTGGCAGCTCTTCCACCCTTTCAGCAGGTACAGCTGTGTTCCCCTCTGTGCCTGACCAGGTCTGCTGGCTGGTGTGGAGCGGATGTGGTGGTGGAGGGTGCCACCCTTCCCTGCCCCCCTTTCAGGGACCTTGCTCCCTAGGGGCCTTGAGTAGGAAGGGGGAGGTAGTGCTCTCCATTGGTACTGTCTGGCCCTTGCGGGACAAGGATCCTTTGTGCTGAGCCCAATCAAAACCTTTCTTTCTAATATTTTAACCTAGGCCTCCTGTGATCAGTTTAGTGGCATCTGTATGTAACTGTTCCTTTCTGTGTTAGGAGAAAGGGACGAGTAACCACAACCTGTTGTCCGCATCTCGATCTGCCCTTACCCACCTCAACCAGCTAGCGCACCAGTTGGCGTTTGACTCTGTTTTCCTTCGCATCAAACAGCAGCTCTTACTGATTTCCAGGATGGAGGTAAGTTCGCTGGATGATTCCACTGATCCAGCATAGCGAGTGGGAAAACCTGGCATGGATATCTCCGCACACTTTATGGGAGCCTGGGACTAGTAAGCCCTCATTGCCTCGCTACTGGATGCCCTCACGCCTATGGGGATTTCTGTTTACTCAGATGTAAACTCCCTTCTTGGAGCTGTGCTCTTGCTTCAATGGAGAGCCCCAACGGACCCATCACCACTGCATCATCTGCTGGGATTTGTGTCTTCAGCATTCCGACATTTCTGTGAAAATAATTAATTTCAACCTATGTACAAAGAACTGTGAGGAGTGTTTTAGAGGAGGGGTCTTTCCACAGTCCTTGGTTTCTTTAGGAGTCCACTGGCAATCACGATCCCTGTTACCATATGACCCCCCTCCCTTTCTTTGGGGCTGCTACTCACGCTGGCTGAAGAGAGCTTTAACTGGTTCTCTGCTTTACTCCTTCCTAGGGCTGGAGCTCAGCTGGCATTGGTGAGACACTAACAGACGACCTGCCAAACTTCAGTCTGACTCCTCTTGAGTACATCAGCAACGTAAGAGCACGTGGGGATAGTTTCTAGAAATGGCTGAATCTTGGGGGACTCTGTAATTTGGCTGTCGGAGTATTTTTGTTCATTGTATGAGGGCAGGAGTTGCTGTTTTGTTGGTTCAGATTCCTACCTCTAGGATTTCTGTTCACCACTCTGAGGATTTTAGGCAATTGTTGGAAAGGGACCTCTTGTAAAGGGTGCCAGGAAAGCACTGAGGTTTCTGGAGAGCCCAGGAAAGGTGGTGAAAAATGACTTCTCTGTTGAGTTGTGTTAACACTTGTACTGGGGTGGGTTACGCTGCCGCAAGTCCTCGGCACCCCCCTGCTTACTAGTAACTATGGAAAAGTGGCATCTTTCAGCATCTCTTCAGTCATGCAGCTCTTGGAGAGGCTAACTCAGCAGAGTAATCACACCGAGCACATAGGGCTGGAGTTCCTGCCGTATGCTGGGATGACTTTGTGTCAATTATTGATTTGAAAAGAGCTTGATCTCTTTTCCCCTCGGTACCTGGGAGCCTCTCCAGTCTCCCTTTCTGCTGCAGAGATAATCTTCTGGTGCTGGGATGCCAAAGGTGAATGGGGGCCGTGAGTCTCGCTGCATAGTTCTTCCTGGTTGGTCTTGCTGGCTATATCTGTTTTAATCCTTGCTCACCAGCAGAGGCTTGAGGACTGCTCCCTAACCTCTTCCAACTGCTGCTTCTCATTATCGCCTCTAAATGGGCCCGGGGCAGTAATTCCGAAGCCTGTGCCAGTGAGTAAAGATCAGTCCGATACTCAGGAGAATTGTACTGACCTACTGGCTGCTGATTGCTTACTCCACCCCAAGTGTAATTTGACAAACAGGAGGATGTGTGCTCATCACTGTGATGTGCCCAGGGCAGCACTGCTCTCATTCTGCATGTCTCACTCTGACATGCACAAGGAATAGACCCTGAGGGGTATGCCCCAGCTGAGCGCTGAAGGGAGGGTCTGAGGCCATAGGATGCGGTCAGTTCATTTCTGGTGTTGGCATTCTGAAATTTGCCTCTCCCCGTTGCATGTAGATGCCAAGAGTTGGTAGCCTGCTGAACTTTGGGGTCATTTCCCACTTATTTCTAACTTCAGCCACCTGGGAGGCTTCTGTTACAACACAAGGTTCCTGGGCAGTGTAGCAGGAAGAAGAGAGGGGACACCCAGCCACCACATTCTTGTAACCCAGCTGCTGGTGCAGACTGCCTGAGAGAGGCCCTGGTGGAATTGATGAGAGTGATGGATATGTTTGGCAGCAGTTGAGTGCAATTTTAAACCAAGCACATCATGGCATCAATTAGGGTCACGTTCTGTAGGCATCAAAGGGAATTTGAGCCTTTCTGGGCCCAGGAGGGGCTTCTGGGACTTGTTCAGATATAGAAAGTCTGTTTCCTTTCCCAAGCACTCTTTAACCTGTGACTGAGAGGGGAGCGTGATTTATGGATTGAGACGAGTGGGAGTCTCCTTGGGTGGCCCCCAAACCAAGCTGCTGCATGGCCAAAAAGCTACAAGTGCCTTTTAAAATCAAATCCACGTAACTGGACGTTATATGTAGAAGAGAGAGAGCAACATGAGCTCAGTAAAAGAGATGTTAATGAGACTCAGTCAGCTCTCCAGAGGACCAGTGGGTGAAGGCAGAGTGCTCTGAGCTGTAGCCCTGCCCAGAGCAGCCTGTCCGGGGCATACAGGCAATCGGTGTGTAAAGGACAAGGGTCATGCAGTTGTCATGCATGACTCCTGCTTGGGTTTGTGCGGCCTCAGTGGCATTCTGGGAAGGATCGTGTCTGTAAACTTATTCTCATGTAACGTGATCCTAAGGTTCCTGTTCCCTGATTTCGCTCAGAGCAGACTGTTTGATTCCCATCTACAAAATGAATCGCCAATAATTCCTGTAGGGGTCAAGGATGCAGTTATAGGTGTGAATCTGTGTCCCAGTTTTTCTTGACATTGTTGCTCCTGTAACTGGGCCTTGACCTCTTGGAAAATAAACGTTGTTTGTATAAAGGGAATTAATGGTAGGGCGAGCGATGGACGTCACTTCCTGGCGTAGTGTATGTTGATGAGCTGCTGTCACGGTCTGTTGTCAGACCTGGTAGGTGGGGATTCCTCTCATTGGCGTCTCATTCAGTGAAGTGCCTACTTAATGCACAAACCTTAATAGCTCAGTGTCACGCTTACAGTCCTTTTACTTTTTATTCTAGATCGGACAATATATCATGTCCCTCCCACTTCATCTCGAGCCATTCGTTACTCAAGAAGATTCTGCTCTGGAACTAGCCTTACATGCTGGAAAACTGCCGTATCCGCCAGAGCAAGGTAGGACAAGACCGATTCACTGAGGTGTCTGGAGGAAAGCGTGTGTTTAGCATTGCAGAGATATGAGTTGCGGGGATGAGGCCATGTGAGGTTGATTTCCCTGCTGATGTGGTACCTTACTGTGTAACCATATAGTGCCTTCCAATTGTCCCTCACTAATACTCACAATGAGACCGTAGTTAATGAGGAAAACTTCAGCACCTTCACTGAAACCGGAAGCGTTGGGTCAAGCTGGGCTGATGTCTGTATTGGGGGAAGTTGCTCTGCAGAGGGGATGAGCCCCCATGGGGGGTATGTGTGAGAGTGAAGAGATGAGTCGGTTAATGAACCAACCCAATGCATTATTTGGTTCTCTAGGAACTGTCTCACGATCAGTGTGAGTTCCTGGGAAATGCTGTGTGGTTACCTTTGGGTGTCGAGTTCAGTCACAATTGTAGCTGCACTTGATGTGTTCACTTATTTCTAGCTCTAAGTCTTCGTTATTTGTGACAAAGCCATGGAGCTGTGCTGTCAGCGTGGAAATGTCCATCATGAGCACCACTCTTTGGCTGGCACCAGACCACTGATGTTTGAGAGAACCACTGTCCACAGAGAAGCTGTTTGGATCATTTGTCTAGCTATTTAAAGATCGTATGATCTCAGCACTATAACAAGCCATACCTAAGTAGCACATAGTGACACAAAAGTGGAGAGAGAGAGTGCTGGGGGAAACAGATCTATGTTTCATTCCTAGTTCAGCTACTAACTCATTGTGCACCCTGGGCAAGTCGCTTCACATCTGTCTGTTTCAGTCACTGCATCTGTAAAATGGGAACAACACTATTTCCTCCTCAGCTTTGTACAGTGCTCTGAGCTGCCTGGGAGAACAGCAGTACACGAGTGCCAAGAATGATGATTGATTAAAGTATTAAACGAGGGAGGATAACACTTAAACAAATTCACCACTTTGGTTGAGTCTCTTCTAAATAACATCAATGCATAGCCTGTCAGAGACCATCCCTGTCTCTTGCCCTCTGGCCCCATAACCCTGCTCTGGGGTTAAATAAGCTTGTGGCATCATGTCAAATCCTCTCACCTTCTCCCTGCTCTCCTCTCTTCTGTTCCTGAGGCTCCCAGTGCTCCCACACAGCCATAAGCTGTTGGTATGTGACTGGCTGAAGTAGATGGGCACTGCCCTGAATGTGGTGAAGTTGAGTGGTGTTTTCAAGGAAACCACTTCACTCACTGCAGTACCGGTAGTCCTCTTCGAGCCCTTGTAGCTGGCAGGAGTGAGGTTCCTGTGAGCGCTACATTTTGGCCCTCCTTTATGTTTCTCAAAGACCTCAAATGAGGCTTTTGGCTTTAAAAAAATAAAATAAATATATGGAGATATACCTATCTCATAGAGCTGGAAGGAACCCTGAAATGTCATCAAGTCCAGCCCCCTGCCTTCACTAGCAGGACCAAGTACTGATTTTTGCCCCAGATCCCTACGTGGCCCCCTCAAGGATTGAACTCACAACCCTGGGTTTAGCAGGCCAGTGCTCAAAACACTGAGCTATCCCTGCCCCCGACCTGTCCCTCAAGTCTGTGTTACCTCTGTGCTTGTACCCTGACGTGGCATGGAAAGCTGGCCTGGATAGCTGCTCATGTGACATGGATACCAGTGCAGATATGTGCATTCCCAACTGAGATACACAGGGCAGGCGATATTGTGGGGGTGTGCTGGGTTGCCGAGCAGCTTACTAGACATACTATAAAGAACAATAATTATACACAATGTTCATGTTTCCAACCTGCCCTTGTACCCAGATTGGCGTAAGTAAGGATTATCAAGGGCTCTTCCTTCTGCTGTTGCTGATCAGATCACCCAGACCTCCGTGAGAGCTGAAGGAAAGCACCTGTCACTTGATTTCCTCATTCTGTCCCCTTAGCGTTAAATTGTAAAGTGGCTTGGTCTGCAGTGTTTAATCTCTCAGGGACATTTGTTTTCACTGGCAATTGAAGCAGCATATGGCTTGATGCTTTGTGTTCCTCATAAGAACGGCCATACTGGATCAGACCCATTGTCTATCTAGCCCAGTATCCTGTCTTCCGACAGCGGCCAATGCCGGGTGCCCCAGAGGGAGTGAACAGAACAGAGCAATCGTCAAGTGATCCATCCCCCGTCATCCACTCTTAGTTTCCGGCAGTCAGAGGTTTAGGGACCCCAGTGCATGGGGTTGCATCCCTGTCCATCCTGGCTAATAGCCATGGACGGACTTATTCTCCATGGATTTATCTAATTCTTTTTTGAACCCAGTTATAGTTTTGGCCTTCACAACATCTCTCGGCAATGAGTTCCACAGGTTGTCCGTGCGCTATGTGAAGAAGTACTTCCTTTCGTTTATTTTAAACCTGCTGCCTGTTAATTTCATTGGGTGACCCCTGGTTCTTGTGTTGTGTGAAGGGGTAAATAACACTTCCCTGTTCACTTTCTCCACACTATTCATGATTTTATAAAGTCCATCATAGCCCCGCTTTAGTTGTCTTTTCCGAGATGAATAGTCCCAGTGGAAGCTGTTCCATAACCCTATTCATTTTTGTTGCCATCTCTGTACCTTTTCCATTTCTAATGTATCTTTTTTGAAATGGGGCAACCAGAGCTGCATGCAGTATTCAAGGTGTGGGCATACCATGGATTTATATAGTGGCATTATGATATTTTCTGTCTTATTATCTATCCCTTTGCTAATGGTTCCTAACATTCTGTTTGCTTTCTTGACTGCCGCTGCACATTGAGCGGAAGTTTTCAGAGAACTATGCACCGTAATTCCAAGATCTTTCTTGAGTGGTAACAGCTAATTTAGACCCCATCATTTTGTATGTATAGCTGGGATTATGTTTTCAATGTGCATTACTTTACATTTATCAACACTGAATTTCATCTGCCATTTTTTACCCAGTTTATGAGATCCCTTTGTAACTCTTCACAATCTGCTTTGGACTTAACTATCTTTAGTAATTTTGTATCATCTGCAAACTTTGCCACCTCACTGTTTACCCCTTTTTCCAGATAATTTATGAATACGTTGAACAGCACTGGTCCCATACAGATCTCTGGGGAAGCCTGTTATTTACCTCTCTCCACTGTGAAAAGTGACCATTTATTCCTACCCTTTATTTCCTGTCTTTTAACCAGTTACTGATCCATGAGATGACTTTCCCTTTTATCCCATGACTGCTCAGTTTGCTTGAGAGCCTTTGGTGGACCTTATTAAAGTCTTTCTGAAAGTCCAATTACACTATATCCACTGGATTGCCTTGTCCACGTGTTTGTTGACCCCCTCAAAGAATTCTAATAGATTGGTGAGGCATGATTTCCCTTTACAAAAGTAATGTTGACTCTTCCCCAACAAATCTTGTTCATCTCTGTGTCTGATAATTCTGTTCTTTACCTTTTCCTCCTGTAGCTTGCTAAGAAGAAGATGTGTGGTTTAGCTTTTGATGTTAATGATTTTGTCTCATTAAAGTATTTTCGTATTTAAAAGGGTTTCATTAGCTTTCAAAACACCTCACGTGGAGCAGTGAACAGAGGACGCCTTGCATGCACACGTTCTGCAGGGACCTTTGTTGCTTATTGGAGGGCTTCTCCATGTCTGAATTAGAGAAAAAGGGCTGGCTCCGGAACCAGCCCACTGCTGAGCATGATTGCCTCCCATCCCTATGGAAAGGACTGAATGAGGATGAGTCACGTGAAGAGTGTTGTGTCTTTAGCTACCTTTTAATGTGAACTAGGAGCTGATAACCAGGAAAAGAGCTAGCACCCATCACCACCCCACTCTCCATAGACCTGTCTGAGAACCAGTACTAAGTTCTGTCTAAGTTCCGGTACCTTAAAGTTTTTAGATTAAGCTGACTTTTTCTTTTACCTAGCACAAAATTCACCCCCAGCTACAGACTGAGCAAGCGCAGGCTAGTCGAGGTTCTGATGGCTAATGAGAACTTTCTGTTCAGGTGACGAGTTACCTGAGCTGGACAACATGGCTGACTACTGGCTAGGTTCCATCGCCAGAGCAACCATGCAAACCTACTGTGAAGTTATCCTGCAGATTCCAGAGCTCACCCTTCACTCAGCGAAGCAGCTTGCCACGGACATTGGTGAGCGCAGAACATACGTTGTCTAGTGAGCTGCTTCTCCCTAGCAGGCCTTACTCTCCTAGATCCCAATCCTGCAGTGTGCCAGTAACTCCCAAACGGTGTGGTTTGCTGCCATTTCCTAGTGGGCTTTTTGAGAGATGAGAGCTCGTAAAGGAGCTGCTCAATACCTTGCATATCCAGGCTTTTGATGATGATGCAGCGAACAGCTGAGATGGCTGGTTAGTGGTTCAGTCTCAAAGCCCATTGCTCCCCATTGGTGGGCTGCAGTCTGGCACACGCCCTTAGTGCCAAGACACACTCTGAGTGAAATGTCAACTAGTAAAGCTGCAGAAATAAACCAAGGGGTCAGAGTTAGAACCCGACAGCTTTGTTTGGCAAGGCTTGTCTCCTGGACACCTGGAGAAGCTGGGCCTTTCCAATAGGTGTTGAGGGGTTGGGGAGAGAAGTGATTAGTCTGTGCAGTTACTGAAATGTAGCACCATGTGCCCCATTCCTCTGACCAAAACCACTGATCACGTAAAGCAGTAACGGAAGATCCAGAATATAAGACGGGAGCCAGCCGCTATAAGATTCCAGCCGCTTTTTGGGTGCGGTGAATTAGTCTGAACTAGTGCTGATGGACAGAGGACATCTGGTGTAGTGCTCTGGGGCAGAATTGCCATGACACTACTTTGGGGACTGTTTGACATAGTAACCGTTGCCTGTTTAAATACATTTTGTCCTTCAATCTTGTAGATTATCTGATAAATGTGATGGATGCCCTCGGCCTTCAGCCTTCGAAGACGCTACAAAACATTGTTACTCTGTTGAAGACCAAACCAGAAGACTACAGGCAAACAGCCAAAAGCTTGCCCCGCAGGCTAGCAAGCAACATCGCCACCATGAGAAGTGTGGACTATTGACTCCGAGCCCTCGGAAAACTCCAGCCGGGGAGCTCTTGGCTAAAGGCTAAATTTCCTACATTGAATTTTTTCTCCAATAAACCTTCCAAGGATGATGGGAATGTGGTTGGGGGAAAAGAGGAATTTATTCGTGACTCATTTAATACATTTCTTCATTTGGAAATGTTGAGAGAGCTCTCCAGGTGTTTTGAACTATAAAATGGAAAAGAAAAATGTCTTAATGACCACATTTCCCTTTAGCCATCTGGGTGACCTGGCTGCGTTAGAGCTGTCTTGTGACAAGTGTTCTGACGCTAGCTGGAGAGTACATGCCGCATGACAATGAAATGACAGGCTTTTTTAGTGCAGTCTAATCAATGCGGACTGAAATTACAGGGTATGTGCAGCGTGGATCAACTGAAACGAGGACTCTACTACCTGCAGGCAATGCCCATTGCTCAAGTCTTTCATTATCCACAATCCCATGAAGGTAGTGTCTCAGCAATTAGCAGAAAATGCAGGACCAAACTAAGCCCTGACAACAAAACCAGTTTAGTAGGTTGTTTCTCAGGAGATTTTCTTCCTTCTGAAGCTATTGGGAAGCTTCTAGGGAATTGGATGTAGCAGTGTTGTAGTCTTCTTGTGAAATGGATGCAAGTGTGGTGTGTGGGTTTTTGCGAAAAGGCTTATCTAATCTAGGAACACTTCCAAGGGTATAGGCTCGGGGAAAGTATAAACTGATCCCACTTGTCGTGGAAAAAGTCACCCACGCATTGATTTTAGTTCACAGACTCCAGCCTGAGGCCAATTTATTGCAAAACATACTAACGCGTTGGGGTAGCAGTCCGAAAACTACCACACCCAGCACAGCACGCAGGCTGCTTTTATTCCGTCAAACCGCAAGCATAGTACAAATAATACGTCATTTATGCGAAAATAAGAGTAGGGGTCTGTCCCTTTTCCCGGTACCTTCCTCATTATTTTACGAGAATTGGGTGCCTATTGGGTGGGGGGTTTCTTGGTGGTTTCCGCCATGGGTGATACTTGGCACTACTTAGAGTGTTTTTCTCGTCAAGGTACATATTATTTTCTGGGGTTTTACGGTAAAGGGCATAGGGGTTTAGCACGGGACGCCCAAAGAAGATATATGATTGGCTAGTTTGGCAGTTAACTGGAACTACAGGAGAAGTTGACCTTTACTAGAAGCAATTTCTTCGTATAAGCGGTTATTATGTTTCATAAACAAGCGGTTATCATGTTTTTACAAACAAGCCGTTATCATGTTTCACAAACAAGCAACTATTCTGTTGCTGAGGCCTTTTGCATTGCTCTCTCCCCCTCCCTCCTCTGGTCATAATCCTTGACCGAGTTTGGCAGGAGGCTGTGTCACTTAGCCTAGTTCCGGCTTGTGGCCTGCAGGGCGGGCCTATATGACCAGTCTTCGCTGATGTTCTGATTGGTGCAAGGGAGGCCAGCCAGGCCTATTCCCCCACAATTTCCCTCTGATGCCGTGTAGGCATCACCAAGATTCATTTTTGCTGGACACGGCCAAGGATCGTGAAGTGGTCAGCTTGGGAGTGCCAAGATTGGTGCTGGCCTGTTAAAGGGAGTTAATGCTAGGGGTACTGACACTAAGTGGGCCTACAACCTTTGCCCCATCCCCCACTGCATATCGTACCTCCCTGAAACCAGCTTCATTTTTCTCGGGCTGGGTGATGGGGAAGAGCAGGGTCTGAGAAAGGGGCGGGGGTCTTTAGACACAAAACAAAGGACATTCGTTTAGTGCAAAGCATAGTAGTGCTGTAGCACTGACTATAAATTGGTTACATGCATTTTTTTTTTTGCGGATTTGATAGGATTTGGTATGCGGGAGCCCACATCCTTTTAACCAGCCTGTATGCTTGGAAGGAGCACTGCGAACGTTTGCACTTTCACCCAGAAAATTTAAGTATGTCTTCGTGGCAACAGATTAGATGGTACTTTCGAGGTGTCTATAAGGGCAGTAGGCCACACCTGATGTTTAAGATTGCTCCGAATGGCCGTGAGCTGGTCATTCAGAAAATTCAGAACTTTTGAACATGTCAGATCCCACTGCAATGCCCCTCTAGACTGGCTAAGAAAACAACCTCTCCACCTGAGGACATCATAAAGCCTCCAACCAAGCAAGGTGATTGTGCTAGTAACCCCTCCCTTGCAGCCTCATAGCCGTTATGTTTCACAAACAAGCAGCTATTCTGTTACTGAGGCCTTTCGCATTGCTCCCTCCTCGGGTCATAACCCTTGACCGAGTTTGGCAGAGGCTGTGTCACTTAGCCTAGTTCCGGCTTGTGGCCTGCAGGGCGGGCCTATATGACCAGTCTTCGCCGATGTTCTGATCGGTGCAAGGGAGGCCAGCCAGGCCTATTCCCCCACACACTGTTGGGATTTTGGCTGTGTGGGATCATGGTTGATACAAATGCCACTGGGGGAAACTCTGCAAGGCTCAGCTTCTGGGAACCTTTTTTGGGTGAATCAAGTCTTAGAAATTTTAAATGCCTGATTTTTTGGGGGGGAGGGAGGTGGTGGTGGTGGTACTAGAAGAATTTCCCTGGAACATCTGCACCAGTGTAGTGTTCAGTCTGAACTGCTTTTCCAAGCTACCTATAGAATTTGATACTTCATCTGCAACATTACTTTAACCAGTTTTTTTGGCAAGAGAGGAGTCCTGATCTGGAATGCAAACCAACACAAATATTCAGGTGTGTCTTGATTCTAAGCACAGGCTGTACCTGAAAGGGATTTACGACTCTCTTGGTTGCTGGCAGCAGCAGCCCTGAGGTTTTACTGCTCTCCTATCAGAATGGAATAATCTATTTGACAGTGAACTTCCCTCCTCTGAATTGCAGTGTGTACCTTTTATCTGGTGTGTACTTAAGAAGTGTGCAGTTACAGCCCATACAACCAAATAAAAATGAAACCTCTCTACTGCAGAGTTGATTTTCTTCTCTTTTGCTCTAGCACTTTGTCCTTTCTCCCTCTTTTTCCAGCTAGAACAGAGGCATTTTCCTGATCTCAGTTGGTCCTCTCTGGATTTGCTGAATGCTCTGCCAGAGAGGCACCCATTCATCATGGATCATCTTCACAGATACCTCCTTGTCTTGAGTTCTGTGCCAGACTCCTTCATGCAGATGAGGACATGCCCTTAATCCCCATTGGACTATGTGTATTCAGCAGTGATCTGATCTTCAGCCATGTGTCTGTTGTTCCTCTGCACCACTCATTCCCCAGGCAGCTTTCAGCATCCGAAGAAGTGGGTTGTAGCCCACGAAAGCTTATGCTCTAATAAATTTGTTAGTCTCTAAGGTGCCACAAGTACTCCTGTTCTTTTTGAGGATCAGTAAAGAGCATGCACCAGACCTATAAACCTCTCTCAAGATGGGGGGAAATCAGAAGAGACACAAAGGAATCAAGTAGCTTTTAAGGACATTGGTCTCTAAACAATACTTCACACTGCTTCATTTTTACTGCTCCGTGGCTCTTGTCCCTGTAGTTCAGCAGGGGTGGGGGGCTGTGTCCTTCCAGAGGAGATGCCAGTTCTCATGGTGAGTTGCACAGGGAAGGGTGTGCTAGGTCAGAAGTGCTGTTCCAGCAGCCCCCAGCTGCTGAGACTCTAATAATGTAATTTATACACTGGAGCTCACCGAGCACCTCAACAAAAACACCCCATCAGTTTATGTAACAAGGCAACACATTCAGGGGTGTCACAGAGCAGAAACAAAACCTCAGTATGCTCCTGCAGCGATGCAAGGCACGAAGCAAGTGGTGAAGTGCTTTGGTGTATAGTGAGGAGGGAATTCTAGTGTTGCAAACCTTGGGGACCCTATCTCCTGCCCTCTCAATCTCAGACTTTGAGGTTCTCCTCAGGCAGATTGGCCCTTCATTATTTGCTTAAGGTCCATCGAACGGGCAAGGCTTCAAAGCATACTTGCTGCTGGGCCTATATGTTGTAAATGGCCCACGGTCTTGCTGATTGGCAACGTCTGCATAAGGGTGAAGTTGACTTGAGCAGCTCTCCCTGTACAGTAGGAATTGGGCATCAGGCATGTGTATGGGACTTGTCTTATGGTGCAGCCTCTCCTTTCAGCTGGAACAAAGAAGCTGTTTGTGGAGCACACTGGAGAATCTCCAGTCTCTGGTGAGCTTTGAACTCGGTTGTTCTTTGTAGCCTGCCCAAGAGCAGGGATGTGCAAATTTTTGTTCTAAACTCTCTGAGGCCATGAGCTGCTGGCAGTATGTGACTGCCTGGTTAGCTTGTATCCTTCCATGGGGCCCAGACTCTTCTGCTTGCTGAGCCAACAGAACACCCCATTAGCAAGGGGCAGTCAAACCTACGTGTTCTGCGTTCTTATTGATCACTTTGGGAGAAATAATCAAGTAAGTAAACACCCTGACTCAAGTACCTAAGGCACATTTTTCATTTTATTAGTTTGTTAAACACCCTCTATAAACCAGCATTGCCGAGAATAGTAAACTTTCCACCTGCTGCCAGAGAACATGCTGTTCCAATTTACCGTGCGAGGGGCTGAATCTCTCACGATTTGAGCCTCTCCCATCTTTTCTCTGATTGTAACTCAAAAGTGAGGAGTCTAGTGGCTCCTTTTTGCCTTTTGTTTCCAGGCTGTAGCTGTTGTTGAAGTTCGCAGAGTGAATAACCCTTGCAGGCACCCAGCTGGAATAAAGGTCTGAGAACATGGCAGATGTTTACTCCTAGGCAGGATCTTAGACATGATGGTGCATTTTTGCACCGTCTGGGGGTTGGTCCTGCTTTGAGCAGGGGGTTGGACGAGATACCTCCTGAGGTCCCTTCCAACCCTGAGATTCTCTGTTTCAATGACTTTCTTTTATTTCTGTTGTAGTAGTGCCCAGAGGCCCCCTTCTGGGCCAGGCCTTATTGAGCTAGTCCAGGGATCGGAAACTTTTGGCTCGCGGGCCGGGCTGGTTTGTTTACCTGCCGTGTCCGCAGGTTCGGCCGATCGTGGCTCCCACTGGCCGTGGTTCGCCGCTCCAGGCCAATGGGGGCTGCGGGAAGTGGCGCAGGCCGAGGGATGTCCTGGCTGCGGCTTCCCGCAGCCCCCATTGGCCTGGAGC